GCATACTCGATTAGGGTGTTTTATAAAAAGGGCCGCTGGCAGTATTGGACAAATTCAAGGACCTATCAAGTTTTTTAAGGATCTAAGACGTTTTTCAAGCACTTTCAATGACCTAAATTTAGCAAAAAAAAATTCAAGGACTTTCAAGGACTCTCAAGGACCGTGGGAACCCTGAAATAATATATAAAGAAGCAGTTCTAATTAAGAATCAAAAGTAAGATATTAAAAAATCTTTTAGAAACCTTTTCCCATTGTATTTTACTTTATATTCTGAAAAGAATACTGTAGAAACAAAATTGTCATTAAACTTATAAATTTTCAGAAAAATATTATGTTTAATAGGAATTAAAATTTTTCTAGAAAAAGAATTGCACTAATTCATGATAAAAAATGAGATATTACACCCTGGAAAGTAATAATTAACTACTAGGCACGAGGTATCATGCCAATTTATCCGGGCATCCAGAGCCAAAAAAACACAAATTTATGTTCAACACAGCCTAATTCAGAATTATAGTAACCTTAAAATTATCCATATATGTAGTTTTGGAAAGCTATGTATTATACCAATTTCCAAATGAAACAGAAATAAGGGTAACATATTTTACTTTTCAGCAGAATTTCGTTTCAAGGAAACATTGAAAAAATTGACATTTTCAGGAAAGAAAAATATGTTCGCTAATGAGAGGTATACCCTTAGGAAGACATGGAAATACAGAAACCAGTTTAACAAAATTAATTTGACAGTTAAAATAAATACAAAATTAGAAATAAGTAGTAATAGATATTTTTTTAAAGTTTTTAAAATCATAATAAATAAAATTAAAAGATTACTCTCATACTAAATTTGTTTTCAGCAAATTAATTAATACAATAATAAGTTTTTATTATTTGGGTATGGGCTTAGCATTTCAAAGAAATATAATGAACAACAGTTTCAAATAAAACATAAATATTTATTATTATTTAGAAATAGCACATAAATTATTCTAATGTTATTACTAATTTAAAACATAGTTGAAGATTAATTTCTTAGATGATTTATTATTCATTAAGCTGATTTATTATTATTTATTAAGATGATTCATTATTTAATAAAAATACAAAAACAATCAGCTTTATTAAGCAGATTGTTTTTGTATTTTCATTTTCAATATTTTAAGAAATTAACAGATTGGATAAATTTCTATTTTATACATTTTTATTTATAATTATTTAACATTTCCTACAAAAAAAATTTGGGTTTTTGACAGTAATTGGCAAAACAAAGAGTTTAATATCAAAATAATTCAAGAATATGATTGATCACATGTAATTTTATATGTTTGCTTATTTATAATAGCTAATAATCATCCTTACACTAAAATTTTGGGTTTTTGACACTTGCAAAAAAACAAACAAAAAAACATGATGAATAAAATCTTTAACTGTCAAAAACTTGCCAAACTTACAAGGTAAGAAATAAAATTTTTGCAAAGTGTCTAGAACGTGCCAGGAAAAAAATCTCCAGCTAAAAAATTTTAGGACCCAGTACATCTCTAATAATAAGTAAACAATAAAGAGCAGAATTAACAATAATTACAAAATCATCCATTTCTTCTGTTGAATTCTTGGCATTATTTTCTTTCTTTTTATCTACTGGTGGTGCTACAAACATCTCCAAGGAGACTAGAAGGACTAATATGCAGAAAAATTTCCACATCTGAAAACAAAACAGGAATAATTTTAACAAATTAGTTCAAGAAATATTATGAAGCAGCATTTTTCATATTATAATTCAATAAGATTAGTTTTTTTTTAAAAATATATACGCAACAATTAATCTATCTTAATAGTAAACCAACACTTGAAGTAATAGTCTTATAGAAGGTTTACTAAAATCAGGACTGATTTAGTGTTTGTGTAACTCAAAACATAAATGGGAAAACTCTAACTGTAATCGTGAATATACATGGAATACCATTTATCACTTTTGCAAATATAATCTACTATACTACAAGTGCCTCATAATGTTACTGGTGCATGAAGCATAGCAAGACTGATACTTGGCAGTGTATCATTTACTCTTGATTAATGGAAAAGTATAAGAGTCAATGAACTCTACAGAAGAATCACTAGTTGATTACATTCCAATAAAGAGCATATTAATTTAGCTGCAATACATTATCTAATAAGTACATTAAAAACAAAAATTTTTTTTATTACAAAAATTTGATTTCAAAAATATATTCAAAATTATTAGTCTTTTTCTTTTTTGTAGACACTTTAAAATCTTTAACCTAGTACTAAGGTAAGCCCCTTCCTCTGATAAAATTAATTTTCTTCCAGAATTCATCAATTAAGTCTAGTGAATTTTTTTTCTTCCAAATTGTTATAGAGCAATTCATTAAATTCAGAAGTTTATTAAGATATCTTTTTAAAAAGAATGATGTGACTGATGTAAAATGGTTTACAAGAGTACAGAGTACTGTAGAGATACTTGGCAGCACAAAAAGAGATATCTGCTAGGTACAGTGGTTAGCTAGGTGAAAATAAATTTAGTGACAAAATTTCCCCTGCATTGCTTTTCAGGAAAATCAAATGATAAGTCTTGGCTAATATAGCAGACATTAGGTCAGCTAAAAATCGATTCAGTTGTACCTAGACATTCAACAATTTTAAAGTCTTGGTTGAGGATAATTAATTACATCTTGGTCAATATGATGCAATTAATTAAAAGCAATTAAGATATAATCATAATTATGGAGAAACATAGTCACAGTTGGCACTCAAATGTGAAAAAAAATTCTGGTGCATATTATACACAATATATTAAGAGATAACAATTACCGTTCTCTTGTGTGAGCTATATTGGGCTAACTATACTAATTTTAATTGCTGGAAAAACTTTAAAAAAAAAGGAACAACTGAACATATTTAAATAATGCTATAGTAAATGAAATAGTTAAATATAGCTGAAATATCCAGCAGATTGCACTTTGATTGGTCACCAATTTTTTAAAGACGTAAATAAGAAACAAAATTCCCTGCTATTTTAGATGATTTTTTTATTCAATGTATTTTTTAGGTTTTCTTGGTGGAGTGACAACTCTGATAGTTCAATTTTAGTCATTATAATTGTTTTTATTTATATTCTGCTCAAACCAATTCTACAGGGAAAGTTTAATTAAATTGAGGGGGGAAAGATACAGTCTTACGGAAAGAAAAAAAATTTAGCATATATTTAATTCATTTTCTAAAGTATAACTGAATATAAAGTAACAACTACCAAATGAAACTTATCTGTACAAAACTCAAATATATTTTTTTCTTCTCAAGACTGGATTTTGCAAACATAATGTAATATTTAAGAGTACACTTAGAAAGTTAAAGGATTCACACTGTTTATAATACTTTATTTCTAAATGCACTGATTAAAAGAAGAAAAATAATTCAAAATTTATTAAAGGTCATAGGAAGTAAAAATGCTAAAAATATTTACTATTATATTAATTAAAAAAACAGAAAAAACAGAAGAAAAAAAAAACAGATTATTCTTTTGTCAAGTAAAACTAGTTATTTAGAAATAAAAGAGGAAATACCACAACATGAAGAAATATATATGGATTTTACGAGGCATTTATTTGAAAGCTTTGCAAATATTTTCCTACAAAAATCCAATCAACGTAAAATATAATAAAAGACAGATAAACAATAAAAAGGTAGACACATATAAAACATGGATTTTTATGATGTATGACCTAAACATAAAATCAATATACCTTTCCACTTTGGGTTGTGAAGAAGATGATGCCATCTTCAATTTTTTTACTGTTTAATTACAGTTAATGAATTGGGGTTTCCAGTTTTAAGAAGGACACTGCATGAAGCTGATCATTAAGTTCTCAATAATTCAACGAACATTTTTAATCGTTATTTATAATAGTATATTATAGTAATCTGCATGAAAAATATTAGTTCTAAAAGGTTTAATACATTTAGACACAGATTTAATTTAAAAAGTGTTTAAAATAATGAGGTAATATCACACAACTCTTAGTTTTAACTCTAATTTAGTTTTAAACTCTTGATTTGAAAGAGAATGAAAATAAAAAACGTAATAATAGCAGAGTAGAAAAAAAAAACAGGTGTCGACTGGTAACAAAAATTTTCGTGACCTTTATTCATTCCTTGATTTAATTAATTCGGTGATTTTCAAGCTGAGTTAATTTTAAGATGCAAGCAATTTTCCCATGGAAAATGATATAGAGGAATAAGAATTAGTTTTTAAAAGAAGTGGCATTTAACAGATCCACTAAAAGAGATTTTTGTTTGAAACAGTAAACACTATTTTAGGAAAATGTAACTTGAATGATTCATCATAATTTTATGCTGATAACAATTAAAAAAGAAAAAAAATGGAAGTTAAAGAACTAAAACTTCTGGTCAATAAATATGTATTGTCAACAAAGTAAGCTACCATTCCTTAAAAACACTGCCTTCTTGCCATTAAAAAAAACAATAATCCGCTGCTTAAATAATAATTACACACTGGCAAAATTATCGGCATATATAGGTTTAATTTTGATTTGTCAGGATTATTTTCAAATGGTTAAATTTTTATAAGTTTCTCTTTTTTTCAGAGGGAATATGAATGAATTTTTTAAGTTATTTTAAACTTATTTTTTAAATAAATACCTTTTTCCAAAAATCACTTTTCATAATTTTCAGTTTAAATTATGAAAAAGCTTTCAATTTAATTATCAATTAATAATTTTTTTTGTTTACTTTTAAAAAAAAAAGATATGCTTAGAGGTTGTTTTTTGGCATGCCCTTAATTATTTTTTATAAACTACAAATTTTTTTCTTGTTTTGAATGAGAGAGAATTACTTTTTGAATTATGTATATAATATAGTATAGGAGGGTAATTTAAAAATTATTGAGGATCAAATTTAGTTATTACATATTTAGATAAATTTTAATTGTCGTAAGTGCTCTTTCAAAATTTAAAGTACTCTTTTCTGTGAGGAAGCCGACCCCTTTTTTATTCCTAGGGAGAACTCTACTTTAGCTTTTCCCAAAAGAAAGTAAAAACAGAGGCTTACATTAAGCCTAATAAAGAAATCAGAAAGACAGGTTTTACTTGGAGTTCATAATATTGAAATAAAATCTTTCTCTTCATTTCCAAAGAAGAAACTAGCAGAATTGTAATTTATGGTGTTCTGATTTGAAAACAGAAGAACAAATTAAACAATTACCAAAAAATGAACATTATGAACTTTCTTTGATTTTAATATTAAAACTTTATATTGTGATATTACAAGGATTATTTATCGTTCATGAATGAAAATAGAAAAGCTTTTTTTTTCTTTTTAAAATTTTATCTTTAATATCTACATGTTTTCAGTTTTTTGCGCTAGCAATTTTTTCTCAATTTGTAGTATTTTTAAAAAACCTGAGATGGAAAATAATCTGCAGATACTATGATAATTCAAACCACCTGCTTCCGTTTGTTCAATTGTAAACAAACATTTTATTTTATGAAAAAATTCACCTTAACACTAATTTAGTTCTTAGATAATTATACTAGACTACTAATTTTCTCAATTTTGATTCATCAATGAACATCAAGAGCGATAAAACATGATTCAGAGAACCCATCATTTCTAAAGAATTTTAATTGCCAAGGTGCCAAATAGATTTTAAACTTGCAAAACTTTAAAATCTATTTGGCACTAGTCTTCTATCAAAATAAAAAAAAATAAAAAAACAGCAACAGAAATCAGTCCATGAGGGAGGTGGAGTTATACCCTTGAAGAAATGTAATTCCGTTCATCTCTGATGATTTTTTCTAAAGTTTCTTGTAGGCCACTGTCTGAAAGTCACTAAAATGAGCGATTATTGTGATCCATATCAAGATGCGGAAATCTTCCCCTTAACTACTTCTTCTGAAATGCAATAGTATGAAACAGCAGAAACATAAGAAAAGCTTTCGCAGCTAAACCATTGTTAGTATTTAAAAAAAAATTCAAATGTTAAAGTTTTTTCGCCTTTTTTTTTTTTTTTTTTAAAAAAAAGCAGTGTTTCTTTCTATTCTTTAAAAACCAGAAAATTATTTTTGGAAGATAATTATTTTTGAAAGGTAATTATTTTTTTCCTTAGCATAGATTTTTCTTTTAAAAGTCGTTTGTTCGATTTTTTTTTTATTTTAAATGAAACCACTAATGAAAATCTGTGGATAACGGGATTGAATTCCATCTGATGCTTTTGTCTGAGGAATCAAGGTCAATTTTGGCCTATGGGCAATCAAGGCCTTTTTATTATGTCTCTTTACTCTATGATCAATAGCAATTAATTTTTAATCTTAATTTTTTAATAATATTTTTTCAGTAGCTTATAGAAGTCTCAATATTTCTAAGATCGTGTCACTTTTTAGATGATTTTTCAGTACTTAATATTTCTCAAATTAATGTACGCGATTATTGATAGTAGGAAGTCGATTTGTAAGAAACCCTACAAATGTGAAGTTACATTAAATTAGTGATAACTTTTAAAGATGTTATATTGATTTTTCAGTAATGCTCCTGCACCTAATGCAAATAAAATATTACTAACTATCTTATTCAATTCAGATAATTTAATTAATGGGAGAGCAATAAAGTTCAATAATTTTTGAAATAAGAAAAGCAAGAGATTTAATTTGAAAACAATACCTTAACGTTAAAAAAGCACCCTGACTTTCAATTCCTGAAGATTCTTCTGTGTAGCTCCAACAATTTAGGATAATAAAATTGATTTTATCCTTCAAAAGCAAATAAATAATTCAAAATTCCAGATGGTATCGAGGCGGAACGATGATTTCATCAGTACAATACCAACAGTTTGTCACCTATAAAACGAATGACACTTCATCAAATGACACAAATACACGTTGCTTTTTCAAGCTAAACATAAATAAAATGGAAAGAAAATCCGTCCTAAATTTCACGGACTTAAATGTGTCGTGTCTAACCTTGGATGTTTGTTTTTTCTTTCCACGTACTTTGAGGCTGATATGTAATTTGCACGAAACTTTTCATTTTTGTACAAAATTTTGACACATTTTGTTTTTGTTTCGAAATTAGAGGCTCCACTCCTAGCTAAGTTTATCTAAGTCTAAAAAACTTTTTCTAATGGCAACAACTGAGAAGTAAATAAATAACTCATTTTTTCCATTTCTGTGTTTATGTTGATTATAAAAGATATTTTTTCTCTGTTCCAAGCTTATTCACTGAACAAACTTCATAATCATGTCTGATTTTGATTATGAAGCGAGGTTACTACAATTGCAAATAAAAGGTATGTTGGATACTGCTCTAGCCTTGCTTTTGGAATGGTAAAAAATTTCAGTGAATGTTCTTTTCGTACTTAGTATATACTACAGAGTGCCATTGGCGATCAAATATTTATGGCTTTATCTTGTAAAATGTTGAGTTTTAAAATAAATTATAAACTCTTAAAAAAAGAAAGGGTTGCATAGATTATCTTATCTCAATCTAGCGGTACCTGGAAGTGTTTTGAAATCAAACGACAACATTTTTTAGAACCAAAAATTCTAAATTATCCACTTTTCACTTATAAAACCATTGATTTTAAAACCTTAAGACAATCTTATTTTGATTTGTTAGTATTATTTTCCAATAAATTCATTCTTGTATGGTTTTAGTCACCAAAAAGTTTACATCTGTTAACAAATTATTCTTATTTTTCATGAATTTAAAATATTCTCAAAACTTTAGTCCGGTCAGTATCTTAAGAGCTAAAATTTCATACCCTGGTTTACTAGCATGTTTCTACCGGTCAAAAAACCGGACATAGTATATTGTATTGTATCGTAAAGTGTTGGTATGTTTAGTGATAAGTAATATATATAGTATAAGTCATGTTAAGAATTAGGCAATATTAATAATTTTGATCCCGTAATTCTACATTGCGAGATCCATATTTAACTTTTCGTGTGAAACGTGGGCAACTATGTTTAATATTTATTAACAAATGAACTTGCATTATAAAGGTTTCCTACTGTCAGCGTAATACTGCACTCGTGCGTCTATATTACAGAGATGATTGTGCTCTGGAAAAACTCCAGATTTTTTGTTAATAGCAATCGGGAAATCCAAGGTCCAGAAGTTTCCAGAAATCATAAATTACAATTATGTGCCGGCCAGGTGGACGAGCGGTTAGCGCGCCTGACTGCGAAGCCAACGGCCGCGGGTTCAAATCCTGCTCTAGGCATGGGTGTTTCTCTCCCTTCTGTTGTGTGCGATGTGTGAATGTGGCCCACCCTATGAATGGGTTTGTGGCGTGGGCAATGTTACTCGCCTCCGCGACTTTGGTTCACAGGTGCCCGCAGGATAACGCGAAATGAGTAACACCTCTGGCATCTTCTAAGCTGAAACCAATAAAGTTCAGTGCCTGCCGTTCGAAAAAAAAAATTATGTATAAAAATTCTTGTATCTTTTATTTAGAAATATCGGAACTAGAATTTATACTTTGTATATTTTTCATTTGTAAATATATTTTTTCTGGTAGAATAATAAATGTGATTAGGGATGAAAGTAAACTTTTAAACAATTATTCAATTAAATTATGCTGTATATAATTTATTTAGAGTTTCATGTTTTGATAATATCGATGATTTAAATTTTTAAGGACATTAATTTTTTGAAATGCGTGATTAATGATTTTACTCAAGAAATTTTCAGGATTTTTGAATTGAGCTCACAATCACCCCTGATATTATCTAACCATGCCCTAATATATTACAGGAATGATTATATTCTGAGGGTACCCAAAAGTTCAGAATTTTAAAACTAGGAACAGTGCATGGGATTTTTGCATTATTTTATGCAATTTCGCATATCTCAAGAATTTCTGCAAATCAAAGTCATAATACTGATAACCTTATATTCTAAAAATTTAAATTTGGAACTTTCATGAAATCTCATTAATAAGACACCTATTCCTCCCCTTATTATTGCCCTCCCTTTTGTTTCTACCTGAGTTTTCATTCATATGCTACAAGTTTTTTTTTACTCAGATTAGAAAGAAAACAATTGTAAGAATCGAAACCCGACTTGTAGCATTTATAGTGTACAAAAAGTAATTCTGAAATTGTGCACATTATCACATATGCAAAATTATCAATTTGTGCCACAATCTCTGATGATATTGCTTTATAAAGTTTTAGTGGAAGTCCTGTTTATTCGAAAATTTATTTTAGCTTTTGAAAAATTATCTTTGGTTTTTTAGAAAATGAAGATAGATACATAAGTGGAGAGCTCACGTTGGATGAGCCATTGAGGAAAACAGAAGAGTTATATGATAAGGCCTATGAAGAATCATACTCAAGTAAAGTTGATTTTATCCTAATATACCCAAATTATATTTATTTCAAAATGCTTATTGTTTTATCTAATTTTTATACTTACCATTACTTACACATATTGATAAGTTAGTAATTCTATGTACTGGCCGCTTTTGGCTACCAGCTCTGTTGCTAATATAAATTTGTCATTTTGCACCTCTTTGCCGCAAGGACTGAAGTTGAGGTAAAGCAGCATTTTTCTGTAGTGGATTAAAAAAAAGTTAAGGTGAATATTCTTTAGATTCTAAATTTCAACTTATAATTGTAAGTAAACCCTTTAAAAATTATGAAGAGTTTAATGATATTAATCAGAAAATAAACTCCATGTCTGAATTAATGAAATACTGAAAATCGCCAAATCTTATCAAAATGTTGACTTTCTCAAAATCTAAGTTTAATAAATGAAGCTGATTGCTTGGGTCTTTTACAAAATTATTTTGGCATAAAGCATTTGACTCATATACAGAGAAAAAAATTTGCAGAATTTAAATTATATCACAAAATATGTTAATAAAAGCAGCCGGATATTGTACTTTTGAATAAGACTTTATTCGTATATGGCGTTTATCATCATTTCTAGCCTCACTAATACTCAAAAGATAGTTTGCAATCTTTGTTTCAAATTCTGATAGTTATTATTGTTAAAAATATTTTGCTTTATCTGGACTTATGAAAACAATTTTTTGCTTTATTTGGATTTATGAAAACAATGGTTTTTTTAAAAAATTTTTTTATTATTGAAATTATGTAATTTTTACGAATAATTAAATATATGTGCACTTCTATTTTATCATTTCTCATGAAATTATAATTATTTTTAGTTTATATTTTTTGTCTAGGTAATGAAAATTGTCAAGTCTCTTATCTGAAATGCTTAGTTTATCATATTAGATTAAGATACTTCATATGACACTGGAATATTATTATATTATTAATAATATGTAAATTTAAATTTACAAAAGATAACTATGTTTACTGTATACCCAAAAATTACATTGCTTTAAATATAATTATATTTTGTTTTGCTAGCTTAAACAAAATAATCAAGCATAGATGGGCAAAGTTTTTAAATGCCAAAAATAGTGTTCTTAGGACCAATTCCTTAAAAGTATGAAAGTGGTTATGAAATACTAAAAATTTAATAGTAATTAGAAACTACAAAAAAAAAAGAAAAAAAAATAGGCAGGCAGTAATAAGTTTTTAGTTTAACCCACTGGCGGTTAAGGAAATGGGCAAAATTGGGAGAACGTTTCTCCCCTACACACAGTTCCCCTATCAGTTAACATGGGAAAACCGGTTTTGCTATGCAGAGAAGACTGCAGGTTAAAATGCGACTTTTTACGTGCAGAACTGTCAGTGGGTTAAGATTTCTGTAATCCTTTCACAGAAATTTATGTTGCATATATTTAACATTATTCTGTGCTTATGAAGTACTATTTAATTTAAGCTATTTAAGTAAATAAAAATCATATTATTAAGAATTCAATCATACATTTCATTTTATTGAGTTTATTTTTTTTCTTCCTGACTTTTTTTTGTATCACTTTTAGAAGACAAAACGAGCAGAAAAATTGAGTTTTCTCAAACAAGCAACACAACCAAGTTTTCGCGCGATTCTGGGCTGATGCAACTTCAATCCAAAATTGTGCAAAAGCGTACAAAAATCTACAAACCAGATACTCTAGTCTTTGACCCCAGAGAATTTTCTGAAAAATTGGTTTGTATTTATTTCTGTTTCTTTTTCTTCATAGATTAATTATATATATATGTATATATATATATATATATATACACACATGCATGTGTACAAATATATACTAGGAAACTAAGCCTCCTATTCGTTTCTGCTCACCAACCCCGATGATTGATTAGCAATAAATAATTGTTGTTTCTTGGGATTTTTCTGCGTAAATTAAAAATTATTCACTTAAAATATGTGTCCTGAAAAGAATTTTGTTTGCTTACCCTTGTGCCCCCATTTCCTGAATATTTTCCTTTAACCCCTTACCTGTCGAGTAAAATTTACGTGATTCACTCCCCAGTGCCACCGTTTTTCGCTCAAGTGCGCTTTGTTACGCGGTGTTTTGGTGGGGAAAAAGATGCACGCGTTGCAATTTAAAAACAGTTTACTTTCACAAGAGAAGAAAAAGAGAAAATACAAAACTTAAACTAAAGAATAAAAATTCAATATAAAATATGTTAAAACTTAGCTGTTGTATGATAAATCCTGAAACATGGTTGGACACATAAACCAACATCACATTCATTGCACTGATAGCGGGATTCTCGACGAATATACACGGGAAATGAAAGAGAAAGAAGAATAAACCCAACCTTACTCAAATAGAAACTCGATAAGAAAAAATACTCAACAGATAGTGCTGCCAGTAGTGCAGTATGTTTAGTGTTAATAGTTTAAGTACCCCTTGCGGTCAGGCAAACTGTGGGACATTTTCACGGTTTTCCTCTCTGTAAGACAAAAATGCAGTTGCATAAAAAAATCCTCCACAAAATGCAAATTTCTCCCGATACTTGATCCAAGAGTTCCCTTGTCTTCTGGATTGGGTTCAAAGTTACAAGGCTACGGAGTGTAACATTAATAGCCGCTAACCCATAATTGGGTAAGCTGTTTAACAACGGTTATAAAATAGTTTAAGTAATTATAAATAATGGTTTAAAAAAATCTTCTTTAGATTAAGATTTCATACATATTTTTTACTTCGTAACTGTAAGTGCTGATATTATTTCCAACTTTGAATTTCTCTTTTTGACTACATGTTTATGCATGATGTATCAAAACTTTACGCGTAGCCTAAAATATGTAGCTAGTAAAATTTTCGTTATTTTATTTCTCCAATGTTGACAGGTACGTAATGTATAATATAATGAAGGTTATTATAATATTATCAAAAATCATAATTTTAAGTCTTAAAAATTAAAAAGCATAATTAAATGCTAGTTTGAAAAAAGATCAGGTAGTTTTAATACTGGTAGTTAGCATGAAAAAAATGGATAACCTTTGCTGGTACAAGAAAGAACTGTGTCTCATTCTGGATGAAAGAAGATGATCATTATAATATTATGAAGATGATTATTATAATATTATAAATCACATTTTTAAGTTACGCTAATGAAGCGGCATAATTAAATGCTTGTTTAATGTCGTCAGATAAGGTTAGTAAAATTCAAAGTAGTTGGTATTTTTTATTCTTTTATTTTTGTTGATATAGTTTAATTATTATTTTTTTTAAAAATAAAATTGTATGTATTTTTTATAAATGTAATTTTTTTTTCTTTTATATATTTTAAAAAAAATACTAAAGCATGCTCATTTGTCTTTTTTAGAAAAGGCACTATAATTGTGCTGTATCAGATGAGGAAAGAAATAATAAAAGATCATCTAATCAATTTTATTCAATCCTATGGCAAAAATTAGGTGAAGAAAGTCAGGAAAAAATGCACACTGCTCCCACTTTTGACTTTTTGTATGTTTTCTTTTATTTGCTCAAATTTTATTTGTATATATTGTTTATCTTAATAGTTGAAACTTGCTGAATGCTGTAGAGTTACTGATGTTACATGTCTGCCAAGTCTCTTGTTTTTAACGAAGACTCCTGTATTTTACGACTATCTCCTGTTTACCCATATGATCTCGAATTTCTCCGTATTTGTTGAAGAAATTTTTAAAAAAAACTTCGGTGATATTATATTCACAAAATACTTCTCTTGTACCTCAACATATGGTGCTATTGCCAGAACTGCAGTATGTTGAGTGTTAATAGTTTAAGTCAAACCATTTTGTTCAAACTAGTCTTTCAATTATTATTTAAGATTTGTAATTTTGTGCATTCACAATATATCAATCACATACTTTATCAAGTATCAACTGAATTATATATACATATAATGTGGACATTTTTTTGGACCAGCTCTGCTGGTATTACTCAACAGGAAAATTTATTGACTCATTATCTTGGTTGTTAACCTTATTAAAAGAAGATAAAATTTTTTCGTGCTATTATAAAATAATTATATACAGCTGCATGTTAAACTACTGTATTGGAAAATAGGTGGTAAGAAAGATTGTCTAAGTAACTAAGATCAAAACCTGTAAATGTATTCAAAGATCTTAAATAATTAATTTCTTTTTTCATATTACATTCTCGAAACAAATGTGATTTAAAATAAAAAATTTCAAATTCTAAATAAAGAAGAAGAAAAAACTATAATAAGCATGAGGAATTATGGAATTAAAAAAAATAAAATACTTTGATGCTAAAGAAATTTTTTTTCGCTTTCATCTAATTATACTCTATATATTTTTTTTTTAGGTAATTTTTTTCACTTTTTTAAGGATAAAATTATTTAAAAAGGGTGAACTTAGTTTTATATTACCTCAAGATTTTATTAAATTTATGTTTTTTCACATATTTAGTTTATACAGTCAAACCCTGCTATAGTGAACCTTCAACGGACCGAAATTTCGGTTCACTATAACCGGGAGTTCACTATATCCGTTACGCAGGCAATTTCACTAATGGTTCCCAAACTCCTCCCTTTTATTAAATTATATTCATATAAATGACTGAAAAATATTATGTAGTAGCAAAAAATGTGTTATTTTTCATCACTCTTCGTCTTGCGTACAAATAAAATTTAGTAATCTTTAGCTGATGAGCAATCCTCAACATCAGATATGGAGACACTTCCCGAATTTCTGTTATTCCGCTTTTTGAACCTGCCTAACCTGCCATTCGAGCACATAAAAGTAGTTTCTATGTTTAACTGTATAGTGTTTTCTATTCTGTGTAACTAGGTGCAAAATATTTCATAACTATAGGAAAATAGAGTGAACAATTTTAGAACAGTTTTAATTTCATAAAAATTCATGTAATGCTGCAGTGAAGTAGTTTAGTAATATAAAATACTTTAAATAAATAAATAGTAAATATTTTGTTTCTTGTAAAAAAAGTAAATAAAAAAAGAACATATGCTGTATAATTTCATTCTTAAAGTNAGTCGAAGACAGAAAAAAGTTCATTATATCCAACTTCCTTACTTTTTTGATTCACTATATCCACTAAAAATAACATTATACGAGCATAGCAAGGCATGGGACCGAGCATTTCGTTCACTATATCCGGGAGTTCACTATAAGCCGTGTTCACTATAGCGGGGTTTGACTGTATAGTGTTTTCTATTCTGTGTAACTAGGCGCAAAATATTTCATAACTATAGGAAAATAGAGTGAACAATTTTAGAACAGTTTTATTTTCATAAAAATTCATGTAATGCTGCTGTGAAGTAATTTAATAATATAAAATACTTTAAATAAATAAATAGTAAATATTTTGTTTCTTGTAAAAAAAAAAAAATTAAAAAAAAGAACATATGCTGTATAATTTTATTTTTAAAGTATCCAGATTTTATCAGTTTTAAGATTTTACATTTTAGAAAGTATTTTAGATTATATTTCTAAATATTTCATGTTTTATATTAGATATGGCACTTTTGATGCGCAGCCAGCTTCACCTGTAAAAAAGAAACGAAGAAGAATTGAAAAAGACAAAGTAGCCAATGCTGTTAAACCTAAAACTGTTAGTATTGTTGTATGCTTTTGAGTAATGAAATTAAGATTATTTTAACCATACATAATCAAGGGATTAACGAATAGTCATTTAGTCAATTACTGAATATTCAGCCAAAAAAAAATAGACAGAATATTCAACGACTGAATTGCATCAGCATTTTTTTTTTTTGAAAATCATTAATAAATATTATTTTAATACATAAATAAGTTTAGTCTTTATTTAAAAATTAATCAAAACTTAGATATATTATTGTTATGGGGTAAATGTAAAAAACTGTAATAGTTATCCATAAATATTTAAGATGAATAAAAAACTAACTAACAGCTATAAAAAGAAACTGAAGTTGTAAAGTTAAAAAAAAAAAAAAAAAAGAAGAGAGAGAGAAATCGAATAAAAAATCTTCTTAATTCTCCAAACAAAACTTTATTGCTAAATAATATTTTTCTGAAAAAAAGTATACATAAAACGTTAAAAAAATTTACTCCATCAGAAACGTTTTTAAATATGCCATAAAATTGTCATAAAAATGCCTACAAAAACGAGATTATATACAAAAGCTAAACAGGAAAAATTTATCTTAATTCTGGAAAGAAAATTTTAAAGCTGAGCATCTCAATTTTTCCAATACTGTATTTTCCAGAAAAAGTGAAAAAAAAAAGAATAAAGTCTAACAGAAACCCTTTTAATTGCTGGCACCATAGTAAAAATGTTGATAAAAAAAATTTTTTTGTAAAGAGAAAGCTAGATATGTTAAACAAAAATTGTTCCTATTTTTTAAACGAAAACTTTGAGGTTAACAATAATTTTAACTTTTTCGTATTCTTTCATTGTATTCTAACATTATAACTTTTTCGTACTGTGTCATATTCTTAGAAAAAAATTGCAATAAAAGAATAACGTTTATTTGAAACGCTCTTTAAAAAATGTGTCATAATAAAAAAAGTGCTGATAGAAAGAAAATTCTTGGTTCGATCCTCGGGCCGGGCAAGGTTGACTCAGCCTTTCATCCCTTCAGTGGGTCAATAAATGAGTACCAAGCATGCTTGGAAACTAAACATTGGGGGTTTCGCAATAGGCTGACCACTTAACCAGAACATCTGCTCCTGCACCCCAGAGCCCAAGGTTAAGAGAGATGAGATGGGCACAGTAGGCCTTGGCCCTACTGTGCCCATCTCAGTAGGGCCAAGGCCTACTGTGCCCATCTGTCGCACCAATCTGTGGCCAGCTGTCGCACCAATGAGTTTAGTTTAGTTTAGATAAAAAGAAAAATTCATGAAAAAAGTAAAAGAGAAAGAGGAAAAAAAAATCTTAAAATATAATTTAAAGGATAAATTCGCAGCTTTTTTTTGTCACCGATTATCTGTCTTATCGTACAGGAAGAAACAATAAAGTCTATTCGAAATGCTCCACTAAAATGCCAAGCTATAAGCAAAAATGAAAAAAAAAAAGTTTTCGATTCTTCAAACAAAAAGTGTTGAGAAAAAAAAAGATAAAATTACTTGCCTGAATATAATTTTAAAAAAAATCAGCAGTATAAAACACGTGGTATGAAATAACTTAACTTCAATTAATTTGTCTTCTTGAACATAAATTTGCAAGCACACGAATTTTAAAACTTAATATGTGTAAAAACTGTTTCAAATAATGTATAGTGAAAATAATATTTTAGATTATTCTTTAATTAATTTATTCAAATTCCAGAAAAAAAAATTTAAAAAAAAAATACTTTTCCCGAATATTCGTTACATCCCTTGTTTGATCAATTTTATTCAGACATTCTAGTAATTAAAATGCTCTTTTTTGTATGACTCATTAATAAATGTTTAATAAAATAAGATAGTAATTTATGAACTAAGTTTGTTGTTAATCTGTTAAATTTTATTTAAGGTTGATGTGAAAGAATGTTCTGAAGAAAAAGACTTAATGTTAGATCGGGCTACTAAAATATTGTCTATTTTAGCAAGATATGTTAGCAAGACTAGTAGTAAGTTTCTCTTTTATGTCAATTTTTGTATTTTTATTAATTTGTTATAGGGCTCGAAAAAACTCAGAAATTTTACCCGTCCCCAAGGATGGCTTGTCCAACAATGTACCCTTCCTCCTTTGAAACTATCCCATAGTAACTAAATAAATAAAAAATAATTTTCTCTTATTTATTACAAACATTTATGTAAATTAGACGCCCGGTGGCTGAGCGGTAGCGCTTCGCGCTGTCGTGCCACAGGTCCTTGGTTCGATCCTTGGGCCGGGCAAGGCCGACCTCAGCCTTTCATCCCTTCAGTGGGTCGATAAAATGAGTACCAAGCATGCTTGGGAACTAACACTGGGGGTTCCGCGTTCGGCTGACCACCTGACCGGAACNACATAAATGATTCATTTTCTTGATCTTCTTTTATGAAATAATTTAAATGACAAAGGTCAAGTTATCTGGAACGTCAATTTATCCAAGGATACTGCTTTTTTTAAATGAATCAAACCTGACGTTTGCCAATTCCACAATCAAGCCAATGATTTACAAAAGTTTCTGCACAGAAATCTGGAAGGGATTTTCCATTTAGGTAGATGTTCATAATTGCGTTTAATGCTTCTTGCTTAAGACCAGTAAGTACCAGTTTTTTTTGTAAGTTCATTGCTGAAATGCTCCTTTCAACCGCTGCAGTACTCCCAGGCAGAGAAAACATTAATCCCACCATGCGCAGTATGTTACTGTATTGTGGGTCATATTGCTGCATTAGGTCTTTATAAATAGCTTGGGCTTGAAGGGCTGAAGTTTTCTCGTGTTTAACGATGTTATGTATCTTAAATTTTAATGAAACCCATTCTTGAGAAAAAATATCTTTATCTACTCCTTCAAGTAACATCTGCATGTTTTGGTTGTCAAAAGATATCAACAGCTGTTTTTCAGATGGCCACTCGCTGAAATCAAATACACCAAAATATGACACAGGAGATTCTTGTAGCTGTTTGAATCTAGTATCTAAAAATTCAACAGTACTATCAATAAAATCAGCTGCAAATATGGGACCGATAGCTTCATCACAGTCATCTATTACATTTTTATGTCCCCTTTGGTGAATTCCTGGCTGAGATTAGAGGGTCATTTTAGAAGTGAGACGCTAGACTCTTGTAAGATAACAAAAATTGAAAATGTACCACGAACATTAACGGGAAAATGGCCGTCCGCGCATACATCGCATTCGAGAAATTTGTTGTCCTTGGGGAATTTTTGACTGCCGAGGACAGGCGGTTTTTCGAGCCGTGATTTGTTATTTAAACAATGTTATCGATAACATGCATTTTTTTATCTTTTTGTTATATTAGGAAAAAGTGGTTAGCTGTTAATGGCATTGTATATGTTTGAAAACTTCAAAGCTTCCTAATGGCTTTTTCTCTCTTTTTTAATCACTCTTTTTGTTTATTTTGTGTCTGTATGCCAATCTTTGTGGGCTTTATCTCATAGCTGTGCCTCGCCTACTCACTTATCATTTTGATCACTCTTCATTTCAGAGCTCATCTGTTTTCCATACAGAATTTTTATTTTATTTTATAACCATCATTGAACAGCTGACCCAATCTTTTAGGTTAACAACTTCTAATGTTCAACTTCGTTGCCTTGTAATTTTGAACCCAATCTAGTAGGCAAGGGAGCACCTGGATCTAGTATTGGGGGAAATTTGCCTTCGTAGAAGACTTTTTGATGAAACTAACCCGCATTTGTGTTACATGGTGAGGAAAACCACAAAGCCAAGTTTTATAATTCAGCCTAAACATGCCACCCAGAAAACTTAAAAGTTTACACCCTGACTCATCATTATGTGGCTCTCTAACAATAGCTAGGCATGCATTAAACAACAGCGTGGTTCTACGTTTAATTTAAAATAATTATCCAACCAATAAAAGGAAATCAAAATCCAAAAAGGGTAAGACTTGTGGATAGACTCACCTATTATTGGCCCACTATAAAATAATAATAATAAAAAACAATAACTAATATCTGAGAAATTAATAAGAAAATGCATAAAAACACTTAAATTAAAATTTAAAAAATTGGTATAACATCTACATTGAAATAAAATCCATCTTTATTTTTATAAAAACAAAATAAAATGCAATTGTTCAGGAACTCAGAAAAGAAGTACCCCTTGAAAAAGTTCAGGTTCTCATAATACTGCAGTCAAAAATGTTAGAACAATGGAAACTGAAATTAAATCTCATATTATGAAAAAGTTGTACTAATACAGTACAGAACCCATTATCCGAAAATCAGAAAACCAAAAAACTGGAACGAAATTCGATAAATTTTCCCGCCATTTTTAAAAATGTTTTTTTTCCCTCGTAAGATTTAAGGATTTTTCTTTCTTTTTTGAAAGATGTTTACCCTACCATCATTTTGGAAATAATCATTAGTGTCTTACTTAATCATTTTTTCTTCTTTTTAAGATTATTTCCAAATAATATTTTTTTTAGTTGGGTTTAACAATGAAAAAAAACTGCTTTTTGTGGCGATTCAGAAAACCGGAAAAATCGTTATCCAGAATAGCGATGGTACCAATCGTTCCGGATAATAGGTTCCCTACTGTATATAAGTAATACAACTGCAAATTTAAAGTAAAATGGATAACATTCACTAAAATAATGAATTATAATGTTGCACAGTTCACAAAATGCAGGGGGAAAAAGCAGAATACCTTAATAACATATAATCTAGTGGTCAAATTTTTCTGTACTAAGACAGTGGTTCCCGAAAACTGATCCACGAAGGCATCACGTGAGTTGAGTGAATGTTTGGTCCTTCTGATGTTAATTTCTCTTTTTGTGTCTGTCTCTATATCTCAGGTATTGTTTAAAAAAATCAAAAGATTTTTGCACACTCTGTTATAAAACTCATAAATACATACAATTCGACAACTTTTGACTTGCAAGAACTTACAAAACTTTTTGAATTGACAAAATTTGAGTGAAATTGGTGAATAGTTTTTGAGCAATGAAATATCAGAAATTTATATTTTTAAAATTTCATTTTTCATTAGCAACTTCACCAATTTAATTTAAATTTTGGAATTTTTGGATATTATATAGGGAGTTTTTATAAGCATACTGGCTGATAGTGAAAGCAAAATAAATGAATAAATAAATCATGTTTTTTATTTTTAAGAATTGAAAAAAATTCTTGCTTATTATCCATTTAAAAATTGCAGTATTTAATATTTTCTCAGTAAGAACTTCACTTATTTTAATTTTTCTAAACATTATTTTTGAGACACTTATTATATTTTTTGGCCTTTATTCAACACCTGAGATATAACAATGAAAGTTTAGATTTTTGTCTCGTATTAACAAAACTGTTTAAATTTTTTAAAATGATCTTTTAAGTTGTAATTTATTCAAATATTTAATTTTTCAGAGAAAGCTATATGTTTTTATGAATTTGTAATTGATCCTCATTCTTTCTCACGCACAATTGAAAATATATTTTTGGTGACATTTTTGCTACGGGTAAGCACTTTTTTTTAATCTCATTTGCTATATTGTTCTTATCGAAATTCTTAAAATATTAAATTTAGTAGAAAATATTTTATCTTCGCCTATTCATTTTTAATAATAGAGAAACCTGTGTAAGTTGGCCTCTTGTGGTGCATTGTTTTAGTAGTCAACTTACAAAGGGGGTGAGTCAGTTTTTTTTTTGTAATGTTATTTGAATATTCTTTTATAAATATTGAATTTATTTGAAGACATTTTATTTTTTCCTTTTCGTTTTTAATAATACAGAGAAACATGTGGAAATTGACCACTTGCAATGCATTGTTTTGGCGGTCAACTTATAAAGGGGTGCAAGTCGTTTTTTCTTCATCACATTTATCATGTTATTTTTAGATATACCATGTTACACATATTTTTCTCACATATATTCAAACGAAATACAAATAAGTGGTGTAATTAAATGTTTTTAATTTGACTTCTAAATTTTATTTAGCAAACCCATATATCATTAAACATGATTTAATTACAGAAAGAACTGCAATTTGTTACATAAATTTAGTATCCAACTGATTAGTTTTAGAAAAATAGATATGCATATTTTATTTAGGTATGCTTGCCTATTATTTTGACTATTTTTCTTAAAAATAAATACACAAAAACATACATAAAACTTGACAGAATTTTTATTTTATTATTTAAAATTAGTTTTATTTTCGGTACTTTTCCATTATGCCGGCGCATATCTTGCAAAGCAGACATTATGGCGAGTTTGAGCTGGCACACAGTCGCCGAAACAAATCGCACGAAGCAGATTTTATTGGCCACAAGGCGCAGCATACACATAAAGTAACAGTTAATAAATGGTTCAAACATTTGTTTACTTTGGAGGCATAAAAATTTTAACATCGCTTAAAACTTTTTCAAATGGCTCCTCCGTTTGCCTTCTCCACATGAATTCTGCAAGATAACTTATGAGATGATGGCGTGCCGTTCCTCTGTGTTTCTTATTTCGTCATTTAGCACTGCCTCTCTATTTTTTGCGTGTGCGTTCCAGTTTCCGGATCCACAAAGTTGCACTTATGGTTCACTTTGAAATGTTCGCAACTTTCATCTTCCAGCTTACTAGTGCAGTGTGATTTCCATGAATCGTAATGTATTATAGTTTCTTTTACGATATTTCCCTTAATAGCCTTCAATAAAGTGTTCATGGATCGATTTGGCACCTCCACAAGGAAACATTTGTTCGTTTCCTGGCAAACTCCACCGAAGATCCATTGTTGTGGTAGGATCCGTCCCTCATTGTTTTTTCTCTCCGTAAACCAACTTTCGTCCATTTGGATGATCATGCCAGGTCTCCCTATTTTCCGTTGTTCTCGTTTAAGACAAAATTCTGACAAGCCTCACTCATGATGTTATTCCAGTCTACAACTGTTCCATGACTGATCTCCAACTGCTTTTCACACCATTTAACTGAAGTTAATTCTTCGCAACAACAATAAATAAACCGCACACACTTCAAAAAGCTCAATTTCGATGATTGAAACCAAGTGCCTTTACGGACACTTCTTTTACAGTGACAAGATGAAAGGTTGCAGCACCATTGAATTTCATCTCAGATATACAACTTCATTTCATGATTCTTATCACAAGTTACGATTTCAGGCAAAACTCCTTTCTCTTGAAAGAATCTGAATCTTCTGTTTTGGGTAAATTCCAAATTTTCATTGCTTTTTGCTTAAATTTTTCATATTAAGTAAAAGACGTGACTGATGGGGAAAAAATGGCCGCGGTTTGTTTTGAAAATGTGGAGGCAAAAGGTTACCAGAAGCGATATTCCGTTTTGGCGTTCATTGCATCATTACTGGCAACTTTATCGCCTGCGCCGGTATAATGGAAAAGTATCTTATTTTCAAACTTAATTATTACAAAAGCCATCAATTGTTTCCCAGATGGTCAGCTCACAAAGAGGTTTAGGCTGGCTTTCAATTGATTCAGTATTAAACTATTTCACAATTTCCTACATTCATTTCATAATATCACTAATTAATTAATTCAGTTATTAGGAATTAATAATATAATAGCATCGAAAATTTTCTGAAGCTTTTTTTGGCCAGTTTATGGAGGGTTTAAAATAGAATTAAGTAACACCCCCGTTCAAATTTTTGTTATTTTAATGGTCAACATGCAAGATAGAGAAGTGGTCAGTTTACAAATGTTTCTGTCTCTCTTATTATATAGGATAAATTTGGTTTTTTGATAATAGAGGTCAACTTAGACAGGTTTCACAGTATTAAACTTATGATCAAAGTAAAGGAAAATTTAAAAAAATCCCCAATTATCAGTTGTCTGTCCAGGGCAAATTTACTGCCGCTTAGCAGTACTTTCACAAATTCAGTTTATGGAAAAACAGTAGTTTCACAAAATACTTTTAACATCTTTTCGAACAACATTTAAATATTTTCTTATTTTACCATAGTTTTGGGTTGATTTTTTAATATAATTTTTAAATATCACAAATAATGTCTAAATTTTCACAAAATAAGTACCTCTCAAAAAAACCTAGACAGACCCCTGATTATTTAATTAAATTAATTTTTTTTTAAAAATAAATTTGTTTGTATTTTTCTAGAATGGAAATGTATGTATTTTCTCTGATGAACAAGGCCTTCCTTGGATAAGTAAGTGTTTTATTTGCAATTTGTTAATTTCTAATGCTTAGATGAGCAGATCTACATAAAATTTATTTTTGTTAATTTTACTTTTTGTGATGTGTTTTAAAAAGATGAACAAAGTAAACATAAAATTCCATTGATCTCTTATCAGATTTTCACGTACTGAGATACATGATACAAGGAATCAACATTGAATCTAACAAATTCATCTAGACTATATTTTAAGTTACAAAAATGTACTTTCTCTAAATGAACGTGTCTTTATTGTGACAGATTGTGATTTTTAGCTCTTAATATGGATAGTTGTTGCAAACTGGAAATTATGGTCCTAATAGTTTAACCAGTAGGACCAGTGCCTGATAAGGCCTCAAAAGCCCAGGCTTAGGGGCCCCCTAATTGTTTAATAGTTTCATTTTGTGTTTTTCTTAAGAATTTTCTATTAGAATTATGTGTTAACAAAGATTAAAATAAATATAAAACCAAATTTTCTAATGTATCGTAATTTATTTATGTTATAAATAATTTAAAAACACTTCATAATTAAACAATTGGTAAATTTTGTTTAAAGTAACGACCACTTTTTAAAAACTTTTCAAGCACTTTACAAAAATTTTCAAGCACTCAAAAAATTCATATTTAATCAATGATATTATTGAAAAACAAAAACTTTTTATAAACAGTTTTAGTGTTAAAAAAAAACCCAAAAAGAAACGGGCGCAAATCAAAACAATCAGTACTTTCCCACATCACCGAGTGAATGCAACTTGACCCTGAACTCAGAACAAAAGTACCCTTACCCCCTACATCAAAAAAANTTTTTGCTACGGGTAAGCACTTTTTTTTAATCTCATTTGCTATATTGTTCTTATCGAAATTCTTAAAATATTAAATTTAGTAGAAAATATTTTATCTTCGCCTATTCATTTTTAATAATAGAGAAACCTGTGTAAGTTGGCCTCTTGTGGTGCATTGTTTTAGTAGTCAACTTACAAAGGGGGTGAGTCAGTTTTTTTTTTGTAATGTTATTTGAATATTCTTTTATAAATATTGAATTTATTTGAAGACATTTTATTTTTTCCTTTTCGTTTTTAATAATACAGAGAAACATGTGGAAATTGACCACTTGCAATGCATTGTTTTGGCGGTCAACTTATAAAGGGGTGCAAGTCGTTTTTTCTTCATCACATTTATCATGTTATTTTTAGATATACCATGTTACACATATTTTTCTCACATGTATTCAATTGAAATACAAATAAGTGGTGTAATTAAATGTTTCTAATTTGACTTTTAAATTTTATTTAGCAAACCTAACTCGTATATCATTAAACATGATTTAATTACAGAAAGAACTGCAATTTGTTACATAAATTTAGTATCAAACTGATTAGTTTTAGAAAAACAGATATGCATATTTTGATAAGGTATGCTTGCCTATTATTTTGACTATTTTCTTAAAAATAAATACACAAAACATACATAAAACTTGACATAATTTTTATTTTAAAATTTAATTTAAAATTAATTTTATTTTCATACTTAATTATTACAAAAGCCATCAATTGTTTCCCCGATGGACAGCTCACAAAGAGGTTTTGGCTAGCTTTCAACTAATTTAGTATTAAACTGTTTCACAATTTCCTACATTTATTTCATAATATCACTAATTAATTAATTCAGTTATTAGAAATTAATAATATAAAAGCATCAAAAATTTTCTGAAACTTTTTTCGGTCAGTTTATGGAGGGTTTGAAATAGAATTAAGTAACACCCCCGTACAAATTTGTGTTATTTTAGTGGTCAAGATGCAAGGTGGAGAAGTGGTCAGATTACAAATGTTTCTGTCCCTCTTATTATATAGGATAAATTTGATTTTTTGACAATCGAGGTCAACTTAGACTGGTTTCACAGTATTAAACTTATGATCAAAGTAAAGGAAAATTTTAAAAAATCCCCAATTATTTAATAAAATATTTTAAATTTTTTTTGAATACATTTTTTTTTTGTATTTTTCTAGAATGGAAATGTATGTATCTTCTCTGATGAACAAGGCCTTCCTTGGATAAGTAAGTGTTTTATTTGCAATTTTTAATTTCTAATGCTTAAATGAGCAGATCTGCATAAAATTTACTTTTGCTAATTGAACTTTTTGTGGGGTGTTTGAAAAAGATGAACTAAGCAAACATAAAATTTAATTGTGCAGTGTACAAAATTAAAAAAAAACCTTATTAACTTTTGATCTCTTATCGGATTTTCACATACTGAGATACATGATACAAGGAATCAACATTGAATCAAATAAATTCGTCTTGATAATATTTTAAGTTGCAAAATAAGGCACAAAAATGTACTTTCTCTGATTAAATGTGCCTTTATTTTGATGGATTGAGATTCTTAGCTCTTAATATGGATTGTTGTTGCAAACTGGAAATTATGGTCCTAATAGAGCCAGTGCCTGATTTATCATAAGGCCTCAGAAGCCCAGTCTTAGGGCCGCCTAATTGTTAAATAGTTTTATTGTGTTTTTCTTAAGAATTATGAGTTAACAAAGATTAAAATAAATATAAACTCAAATTTACTAATATATCGTAATTTATTTATGTTATAAACAATTTTAAAACACTTCATAATTAAACAATAGGTAAATTTTTTCTAAATTAACGACCAGGGCCCCCTCATTTCTAGATCACGCCCTGAAGAGAGCAATTGAAAGTTTTGACCCTTTAAATGTAACCTTACTTTTTTGCATATTTTGCCATATCTCTAGAATTTTGGACATAATTGTAAGACTCATTTATAAAAGGCTGACTCTGTGTCAAAAATAAAATTTTAGGATTATTTATTTTAATAATGCTCAAAAAAGTTTTGAATTTTAAGGTACAGAAATTTTAACATCATTTTTAACTGTGCAATGTTAAGTGACAAAATCTAAAATAAGAACAGAAACTGTCAAATATATTTTGAGAAAATAAAAATAAGTGAAATTAGTATTATGAGGCCCAAACTTTTATCCTGAGTATTATTTTATCCAAACTTTTATCCTATTGAGGCAGTATTTTCCTGAATGTGGCTGTCCCTCATATTTTAAAGGTAAAGAATCTAAATCCTGCAAAAAAATCAAATTCATTATTCAAAGAAAGTACATTTTTGTGTTTGAATTTGTAACCTACATAACTGTATTGTAAAAATTAACAATCACTAAAAAAAATAAACCTGTAATGTGATCAATATAAAAGTGTTTTCTAAAACATTGCTCTTACCTTTAAAAAAAATTCTTCGTCACAAATTATCTTAATTTTAATTTTTTGCTGTGATTGCAGGAGATGTTAAACCAGAAGAGAAAAAAGAAAGGGCTAGAGATCATAAAGATAACAAACAAAGTGTACTCAGCATGAGTCTTGAAGAGTGGAAGGTAAGATACAATTTTTTTCTATAAAAAAAACGACACATTTTTATATAATAAATACAGCAGAATCCCGCTTATCCAAAGCTTGATCACCCAAATTTTTGGTTATCCAATATCTTTTCCCACATACGTTAAAAGCATACCACATACGTTTACTCAAGACTTATTTCAGTCCTCAGGACTGAAGAGTGGCAGTAACGTAAGACCGCTATTTTGCGTGCAAGATGTTTGACCCTGCCACAAGGGAGGGGTGCAAATTTCACATAAGTTAAAAAAAAAATTTTTTTTTTGTTTAACTTAACTCTTTTTATTCGTATAAAAATTATTTATGACTAGTTTATACTTCATTAAAAACAAATTAATTAAGTTAGATCCCCCTTTTTTAACAAATAGTTATGTGTTAATATTTAAATAATTATGTGTTATAAATTACGATGCATTAGTTACAGTTGATTTGATAAAATATTTGACATTTAGGTCAGAATGTTTGCAAGATATAAAAATCAAAACCACCTTGTTAACTATTATTATGTAATGTTGTTTAAAACTGAAAAAAATCTATAAGTTGCATTTATGTTACTGTCTTTAACGATTACAATAGTTATTGATTTGTTGTTAATTTTGAAATGTTTCATTAGAGAGCTGATAATTAATCACTTTATACTTCTCCCATTTTCATTTCTATTTATATCTATGTATATTTTTATAAGTACTAAGCCTAGTAAGTTACATAAATTAATAAGTGGAATTTAAAATTTTACATTGAAGAACAGATTGTGCATGCTGCAATGTATTGAAAATCAAAATATTTTTAGTGAAAAGTATTTATTAGTTTTTTGGACTTGTGACAAAATATTTAAATTAAAGAGCTTGCAGACGGGCCTTAGAGACATTCAGACTTAGACAAAATGAAAAACTTTCTGCATGCATTGTTTAATTCATGTAAGTAGGTATTGTGTTATCAACGTTTTAATAAAAACAGGGATGCAAGATTTTATTTATTTAAATTGTGTGAATATGAATCTCAATGTGTCATTATTAAATCACACGAATACGAATCTCAACATTTAATTTTAGAATCGCGTGAATACAAATCTCGATATTTAATTTTAAAATCGCGAGAAAACGAATTGCAATGCATAGTTTTAAGTAATTTGAATACGAATCTTAACAGTGGCTTTTAAATCGCATGAATACGAAACACGATATTTGATAATAAAATCGTTGAAATACGAAGCACGATCTTAAATCGCATAAATAGGAATCACGATATGTGATTTTAAATCGCATAAATAGGAATCACGTTTGCATTTGTAGGGAAATAATTGCATAAAAAAGGAATAATTTTTTTTTTTATCTTTGGTATTCAAAAAAGACAAATATTCTTTTAATAGGTGGATTGTTTTTTTCTTTTTTGGTAATAGTAAACTAATTTTCGCAATCGGCATTTATATATCTTATAAGGGTCTGGTAACATTTTTTAAAAAATGACATATCTTGTGGAAAGATCTTATTTAGTCACTTTGACTGTCTGAAGTTGTTCTTCGGGGTAACAATGTTAATCCCTTAGTAATAAAAAAAAGTTATAACCCAAGCTATGACTGAGCCAATTTTTTCTCATCTATTGACAAGATACGTATAATATACATGAACAATATTGATTCACGTAAAATTCGTCACCCTGGCGGAAAATTATTATTACTAAACAAACCCTGTCAATATTTCCATATCCTAACGAGAAGATCAATATGGCATGAGAATTTTTTTCACTGCTTTGCACAGCCGTATTTTTCTTGTGATTACGTCATTGCATTTGAAATTCAGGCACTGTGGTCGGTGCAGAATTCGATATGAAATCTGTGCCTGCTTTTCTAACAAATTTTGCTGAAATGAGAGAGGTTTTGATGAAAGAGTTGAAACTAGTTACTAGAGTTGCAATTGCTTGCACAAAGTTTTTTTAATTGAGATTTTGCATTTGCATGAAAATTTTCATTTTATCCAAGTCTGTTTTTGGCATGACTTTTTTAGCAATGGAATGATAAAAGAAAAACGGCTTTTCTCCAATAAGTAAAGGCGTACAGGAAAAATGAGAATGAAGGGAAATACGTACAGGAATGTCCTACTGTTTCTAATTTAACAAGCTACAGTAAATTATTTTTTTTTTAAAGTTTGCTTTACATATTTCATTTAAATTTAAGGGTTTATAACATAACTGTATACTTACTGAAATGATCTGAATATAAGAAGTAAAAATAAGAAAAGGCATTGACTAAAGAAATCTTAATAAGCATTTTTTAATTATGAGATGCACGTACATGAAACAGTAGTGCACAGGACGCGTACATAAGTGTCTTTATTTATGTTTTCTATTTTTAATCCAATTTTGTTGAAACATTTTCTTAGAAAATTATTTTTATTTTTAAAGTATAATAGTATGCATTCAATTTATTTATTTACTACTTAATAATTTGGGACATGCCTTTTTTATTTTTAAAATTTATGTCATAAATTTTTTTAATTTTCTCCTCAGAAATTAATAATTTTAATGCTCTTATACAATTGAAGTCATTTTAAAAATACCTTCTTTCTTTGAAAATATAAGTCAGGAAGAGACTTCTTCCTTCTTATCTTATGTATTTATTGCGACTGGATGATGTATTGTGAATATCGTTCATGTTGTCTTTTGATAAAATTAATAAAATAGCAAATACTAAATAACTAATTTTCTTTTCAGGCAATAATAGAAAAATGCAAATTCAAAGAAGCTAAAATACCACCACAGAAGTCAAAAGCAACTCAAGAGAGATAAACTAATTTTATCTAAATCATTTGTTTACTTTTAAAGATAATCGTTTTTTAATAATTTATCGTCTTTTAACAAATAGTGTTACGTTTTTAAATGAATTCATTTGAGCATTGTTTACCCGCCATACAATGTAACACATCACTGTATCATCGTCTTGTATATAGAAGAATAATGATTCAAAATTTTCATTCCAGGAAGCAATTTTTGTGAAAATAAATTTGTCGATACTTGTAACTTACACATTTGCTATGGTATCTATACTATTTATTAGACAAATATTTCTTTCTGCGATTAGTGCCTTTCATGAAATGTGAGATAGAATTGCAATACTATTTTGTGATAAATTTTATGTTGGATTTATTCATAATATGTTTTCGTTATTGATTTTTTCTATTCAGCACCATGGGTGCCAGTTGGAAAGAAGGCCAAGACTGAAAATTTTTTGACTGAAATACCTAACATGCACAATACCCCCTCGACATATGCAAACTATCTGAGAAAGCTTTACCATAATACATCAAGTTTAAATACTGTACAAAAAATATTTATTCATCTGTCTTTTGATAAAATAACAACAGGACATAAGAAAGTAGACCAATAACGTAGACCTAAAAAGTATTTTTAAGGACAGAAAAAAAAAATAATTCCGATTTCCGTCTTAGAGTCAGTCTTGTTTCCGTCTTACTTCCGTCCGCGGACAATTTCGAAAGACGGAAATCCGTCCTGGGGACGGAAGACTTGCACCCATGTTCAGCACTTAGCATTTAAGTTTAAGATTTTTGTTAATAATTTCTTCTTTTTAAGTCATACATAGAACTTTACTGCTTTAAAATTGGTTTCAAAATTTTATAATTAAAAAATATTTTCTATAAAATAAAATGATCTGAAAGTGATTTTGTTTTGCATTAAAACTATTTGTTTTACTTCTAGATTTGTAATTTTTTTTAAAATCAAGTTTGCAATCAAACATTCATAGTATACTTACTTTCAACGCTGTGTTTGCTATTTAAAATTTAATAGTTCTCAAGTTATTATTTTATAAATATCAGGGTATTAGTTTTGTTATTATGATTTATTTTTGTGTAACCGATAAGTTATAAATTGAACATATACATTTTGAAAAATCTCCTCAAAATGTTTTTGTATTTTTTTTCTTATTTTGCTTATCATATTTAATAGCTAATTAAAATATGCAGCATTATCTCTTTGTATTCATAACTAACATTTAAAGTAAATAAAAATGAGTTTTAAATTTTTTTTTCTAGTTTAATCTATGCATAATTTGTAAAATTGAAGCACTTCATTAAAAAAACTGCAAGGTGATCTATCTATCTATATACAGGGATGAGATTGGCCAAAAGGCAAAAAATCTGAATTTCCACGCAAGTAAATTTTACGTGTGTGCAATCATTTAATAATAAATTGCAGGCAATTTAAGATAATAAATGAATGATTACATCGATACTTAACATTTAGTAAAAAGTAAAATTACCAATTGAAAAAATAAAGCTAGAAATTATATTTTTCTTCAGTTCACATAAATGAGACAATTATTACTTGAGGAATTGCCTGATTTAGCAAATAAAAACTTTTGAGAACATACATTGACAGTACCTTTCTTTTAATAAATACTGTTACGTGATTTATAACAAATAAATCAGAAACATGACTTTTAAAATTATTTAGAAAATAAAATAAACATTTACAACACTATGTACATATTATAATCTAATCTAGCTAAAGCCTTGTGAAACATGCCAATAACTGTGAAGTAGAAACATATAGTAACTCCTTAACATACAAAAATTGCTATTTTAGTTTGAAAATATTACATGATAATCAAACTCTTTAGATAAGAATTTTACATTTTATACCATAAATAACAGCAGCATTATTTTTTTAATTTTGGTGCTGAGTTAATCAACTTTTTTTCCACAAAAAATTTAATAACTTTTGTTTGCTATATCTTTTTTTAAAATTTTTGTTTTATTTGCTGCAAATGTTTCATGTTTTACAAACCACACAAAAAGATCCTTTAACAAGGTCAAATTGCTCGTAATGCAGCCTGTGAATGAGAGGAAACAGATTGGTGATTAATTTAGTCGTTAGCCCATCTTCAAACATCTTTTGACAAATCCTATTTTTTCTTTCTTTACCTGCCTTTGTCACATTCTTCTTAGCAAGCACAGAATGTAAGTTTTGAATATGCCTACATATAATAATAATTGTCGATAGAAAAACAGTCACATTTATAGTGACTAATTAAAGAAAAACTTACTTCTTACAAGAATCATGATAATTGATTTTATTCCCGATAATAGCGTGAATACAAATAGCGATCTTGGATTTTAAAATCGTGTGAATATGAATCACGATAATGGATTTAAAAACCACTTGACAGGGATGAGATTCTTCCGCGGATTTCCGCTTTTTCCATTTTCCCCGCTAATTTTTTTTTTGCTCAAGTTAAAATATTTTATGAGGAATTAAATTTTCCGCGGAGCGAAATTATTGAAGTCCTCATTCCTCCAAAAATAATTTCCTTTGGATAAAACTGGTTGATCTTTATACTGGGATGAGATTTTTTTCGCTTTTGTCTCTCGAATTTCAGCCTTTTTATCAAAAACTCAGATTCTTAAAAAGTTTCGTTTTTTTATTTTTTATTTATTTATAAATATCCCGTTTTTTTTTAAAAAAAAATTCAGTCGTTGAAGTCAAATTATTATATTTATTTACGATTTTCAAAGAAAAACAGAAAATTCAAACTACGTCCTAGCTGCTAATCCTTCCGCATGTTTACTTATATTAGCTATTTTCTCCGATTTCACGCACAGAAAATAAGATTTTCCGTATTTTTTATCCGTCGGCGGGATAGCTCGTATTTTCGTAATTTAGACGTCGCTGCTTCTTGTATTCTGGAGAGAAAGCAAACAAAAAAAGCGAAAAAAAATAGAGGTGGATTTGTGGTGAAAATATTTATTTGCTCATTCAATTAATCTTGTAAATTTTTATTTATTGTGTAAACAAAAAACAATTCAAACAAGCCTTTTAGAAATCCCAAGTCCAGACTCTGCAAATATCTCGATTTTTATTCACGCGATTTTAATATCAATCATCGATTTTCGTATTTACCTGATTTAAAAGTTGCGCATTGCAATTCTTATTTACGCTTTTTAAATATCGTACATTATGACTCGTATTTACGAGATTTAAAAATCTAATATCGTGTTTTGTATTTTTGCATTTTTAAAATCGCGATTTTATTATCAAACATCGATTTTCGTATTTACCTGATTTAAAAGTTGAACGTTGCGATTCTTATTCAGGCCATTTAAATATTGTACATTGCGATTCTTATTTACGAGATTTAAAAAACCAATATCGCGATTTGTATTTACGAGCTTTTAAAACCCTATGTAGCTACGCGAGCTTAAAATCCAATGTCGTGATTCGTTTTTGCGGTTGTAATATCGCGCGATTTTAAAATTATGCATCTTGATCTAAAAATTACGCATCATGATTTGTATTTTCGCATTTTTTAAGTTCGATGTAGAGTTTCATATTCACGTGATTTAAAAGCCTCATTCGGGATTTATAATCACATGTATTACAAGTTTAAACAAAAATTTGACAAAAAAAGTGCGATTTTTATACATATATATCTATATATATTCTTGGATTTCCTCTTTTTTACTCTCTGACTACTCTCATCCCTGACTTGAATATAAAACTCGATATTCGATTTTAAAAAATGTAAACTGCATTATAGAATTTTTAAATTGAGTATATACAAATCATGATGCATAATTTTTAGATCGCGTGAATGCGAATCCCAATGTCTTATTTTAAAATCACGTATAAATACAAAAATCAATGTTTGATATTATAACCGCATGAACAAGTCACGACATTGGATTTTAAACTCGCGTCAATATGAATTGCTACATAGATTTTTTAAAAACGTGTAAATATAAATTGTGATATTGGACTTTTAAATCTCGTAAATAAGAATAAAAATGTTAGTAAATTCCGGGCTTGTAAAAGGCTCGTTTGAATTACAAAAAGACAAACTATCTGGCGGACGAGTAAAAATGCGGAAAATCTTGTCTTCTGTGTGTAAAAGCGGAGAAAATAGCTAAAATAAATAAAAATGTGGAAGGAGCTATGTAGTTTGAATTTTCTATTTAAATTTGAAAATCGGAAATAAATATAATTATTTTATTTCAATGGCTGAATTTTTCGAAAAAATAGAATATATATTAAAAAAAAGACTGAAATTCGAGAGGCAAAAGTAAAAAAAGTGGAAAAATCTCATCCCTGTATATATATCTGAGAAGTAAAGGCAGCCAGTGCACAGTGCTGACCATATTGCCACACTTTTATTAATTGTATTATGGAAAATTTATCTTTTGTTAGATTATTATCAATATTTTTGTCCCAAATTATTTAATTTCTGAATGTCTTTTTTCACTATTCTTCATGTAATAATTATATAGTTAAAAAATATGTTTTCTAACAGTAACGACATTTAGCCTAGAAACAAGATATTACACAATATTGATTTTTCAAAAAAGTAGCCAAATGATATTCAGATAAAACACAAGCATCAAGTGTAAATTTACAGTTTAATTGAATACCAGTAAATATGTACAACATAAATGATTGAAAGTGGAAAATAATCTAAATGATCAGTGTTATATGTTAAGTACATTAACTATTGTAAGATATTACGAATTTGTGCACACTAGTGCAGTGAATACTTAGCAATTAACACCTACATTATTAAAATTTTATAAATAGCCATATATAAGCATTGCAAACAATTTTGAAATTGTAACACAGCTAAAGCAAGTTTTAATAAATTAAATAAAATGGAAGACCTTTTTAAAATAATTTTTAATGTATATTAACATAATATAAGATATAATGGTAGTAATTAATTCTTAGTATTTTCTTTACATTAGAAAAATATAGGTTTTCTCAATATTTCTTCAAATTTTACATATTTTTTTAATAGGTCAAATTGCTAAATCCAGTTATCAAGTTCTTTAATTAATTCAATTCTGCCAAATTAAAAATTAGTTTGCTATCAAAACCTTTGCACAGCAAAATCAGTAACACAAATAATAATTTAAAAAAATCTTGACTTCATAATCTACAGCCAAATAACAATGCTCCTGTTTAATTTGACTATCCGTCTTAAAAAGACGTGGAATCATTAAGTGTTTAATTAAAAAGTTTCAATGAATAAAAGTAATGTATGCTTCTATAAAATAGGGTTGTAAGCACTTGGATTAAATCAGTGTACAAAATCATCTAAACTGAAATGAATTTATTAGCAATTAATCAAGGGTGATGATGATTTCTTATTCGAAATAAAAAAGCTAACTTAATAAAATTATAAAATAAACAAAGATATAAAAAGTTAGTTTAAGAGATAAATCTGTTGCGTCTATGTTTATAGATTTATTGAAAAAAAAATTCAAGGTAAAAATTGTAAATACAACAATTTGCCAAGCTTGGTAATGATTTATTAGGATACAATCCTGTAGTACAGTTGGTCCCTTTATTTTATACATCTTAATCTTTGTTTATCATTAACATAAATACCTTTTGAAAAGCTTGGATTTTTTATTTATTTACTCAACATTGTTAAAAGTCATAATAAACACGTATTGCAGAAAAATGTTTATTAATTTTACTCAATTTAAACTGTTAGCTCATAAAAAAAATTGTGTTTCATGGATTGCTTATTTAAATGTAAATTATAATGCTGAAAAATATTTCTTTAATAAAATTATGGTACATAAATTAAAAATAAATTGTTTTTGAAAGGTAATAAACACCACCCCTCATTAATTCATTATACTTATACCAATTTGAGCAATAAATCATAGACAGGGTGCGTAGCCAAATCTTTGAATCAAAAATAAGCACTTTTTAAAAAATTTTCAAGCACTCAAAAAATTCATATTTAATCAATGATATTATTGAAAAACAAAAACTTTTTATAAACAGTTTTAGCGTTAAAAAAAAACCCAAAAAGAAACGGCCGGAAATCGAAACAATCAGTACTTTCCCACATCACCGAGTGAATTCAACTTGACCCTGAACTCAGAACAAAAGTACCCTTACCCCCTACGTCAAAAAAAGTGTTAAGAAGTAAAATAAAATAAACAAGAACAAAATTAAAATAAATTAAAAAGAAAAACATTTCATAAGGATCTGATATTCTCTATTCGAATTGGAGCACTCGGGCGCATGCGCAAGTCATAACGTGGGTACGACATGCAGTCCGCGTGAATGATTATGTAGCAAACTCCCAATTTTTCGTGAAATGCATGGGATCCACCAGATATCACTGAAGGGAGAAAAGAATTATTCGGAAATAAAAAGCACTTTTTAAAAACGCCAGCTGAAAAAAGCACCTTTAAAAGCTTTTAAAAACGAAATCCCGAAAAAAGCACCTTTAAGTACTTTTTACAAACGCTACGCACCCTGATAGATATATTGTTAATTTTTGTTGAGAAACTTAGTTTAATATATTAATTATATCAATAAAATGTATGAATGTATCATAACAATTAGAACTGGATTTTGCATATTCATACAGTGATGAAATCATTTGAAATTTAAGTTTCAAAAAGATTTCATCCAGAATTTTTTTTGTCTGTTACAACTTTTCAAACTGGAATTTAACAATCTATTTTTAGATTGTCAGAAGCCAAAGCAGCAAAATATATATATATTTTTTAGTATATTTACAACTTTCTTACAAATAACAGTGACAGCATAAATTTTAAAAAATATTTTTATAGATATTGTAGTGATTTATTTAAAAGTTTCACAAATAATGAAATAAAACACACAAAAATATATTGCCCCAATTTATAATTTGCACAAACACAAATAAAACGTCAATTAGATAGGTTAAAATCATTAAAAATTTAGTTTTAAGTACACATATTTTTTGAAATAAAGAAAATAATAAGAAAGAATTGTAATGTACAAAAATTTATAATCAAAATTCTGAAGTGCTAACTTAATGAGTGTACGGACAATATGTAACAAAGCTAACAGAAATAAATTAAATATATATACACATTTCGCTAATCTATTATTTTAAATTGAAATAAATAAAATGCTAAATTATAAAAATAACTTATATTTGATAAATAAAAAACTGAGCATAATTTCAATTATTTGAAAACTAACTATTAAAATATGAAGCTAGTGTCTAGTTAAATTTACCAATTACCAAGTTGCACAAGTTTTCTTTTAATTATCCATACATATGTTATATTATGGGTGCATGCCACATTGAAAATTATCTTTATGTTATAAACAATAGCATTTGAATAGTTTTAAAATTTACTTTTTTAAAAGTGCAACTTCGACTGTGTCCACTGTTACAATCACTTATATTTAAAGAGGAGTGTAATTATAAAATGATATACTATACATATATTTTTTTAAAAACTTCTATTTCTGGTAAGCAATTTTTTATATGTATTTGGACTTAAAAAATCGGCACGTATATTGACATCATTTTGAAAATACATGTGCTATGGACCAAAAATTTGTGCACATGCTTTTTAAATGAAGTTTTGAAAATGTTGGCTCATGATATGTTCGTGTAATATCAAAAACACATTTTCAAACAATAAAATTTGTTTTATTTTTAAAAAGGGATGAAAATTATCTGGATCTCAGAAATACTATTCTTAGAGTTGAAACGTTTCTTTTTCCACATAAATATGAGAAGTTATTCCCCCCCCCCCTCCATCTGAACAGGAAAAATTTCTAAATTTTCCCAACTTCTAACAGAAGTAAAAAAATAATTTATACAGTGATGTTATTTCAATAATTATTAAACAAAAAGTGCACACAATTTAGTTAAAAAAAATTTTTTTTTCATGGTTTAAGCTTTAAGTTTCTTTTTTATCAAATTAAAAAAAGTGTTTCTGATGTACTTGAACGAATTGGCAACATTTCAAAAATGGACATAATTTAAAATGCATGTTCACGAACTTTCTTAGTAGAGTATTTAAATTGCAAAGCTTTACCTTTAAACTCTGGAAGAAAATAAATGATTATAACGATAACTAATTAACTAAACACTGAAACATTTAACGAATATATCAGGTTCAAATATTATTTTAACATGACCTATAGTTTGAAAAGGCAATTAAAAAAAGTATTTTATATTAACTGCAACATTTTTATAAGTCTATTTTTAAAATAAATAAATTTTGTGTTAATATATATATTACACAACATATACAAAATTTATAATTGTAAGGTCCATTTGATGTGTTTTTATGTTGAGGTAAAGTTTTAAGAAAAAAAAAATCTAGCAAAATACTTATTTCCTTTCTGCTAAACAGAAGCTTTGCTTTAAAAAACTAGAGGGTCTTAAAAAAGTAATCAAATGATACATAAACAAAATCAAAATCCTCAGAATGATCCAGGCTTAAATATATAAAACATGAAAATTGCTTAACAGTTTGTTGCTTCACAGAAACCACATTTATTTAGAGGAGGAAACTTTATTTAAAATAGAAGCTTGGCTTAATTATACTTCCAGTTTATCACTGATATCACCAACTCTGAAATAAAATTTTCCGAAAAAACATAGACTCTTGTAAACTGCTCATTGACTTCAAACTGCACAAAGCATTTTTTCCTTCCTTTTGCACTTCTCATTAAGTTAGACAAGGGACAAAAATCTTTTTGTGCTTTTGTACAGCAGGTAACACAAGTGCTAGAATCCCACTGGGATCGTCACTTTTTTGCTATGTTTTGTGAGTTTTTAATTGGCAACTAGTTCTACATAGCTAGCGGGATATAATCCAACCCTGCCATCTTTCCGACCCTTGCACCAGCCTTGCTCATCCTCATCTTCCAGTTTTTCAAAAACTTCACCTGTGAAAAGTGACAAAAATAAATTGCAAAGAAATGCATATTCTTCAACTGATATCCTCAATTTGTTATATATTTACTTTTTAGACATTTTTATTCATCATATAAATTTTATATTTTTTACACTAAAGTTTAGAAACAAAATTACCTGATTTATTACATTTTATTACGCAATAGAATTTTATTCGAAGACGTACAGATTTGTAATATGCAAGTAAATACAACATAAAAACAATATTTTGTGCAAGAAGGTAAAAAATTTATAAACTCACAATATAGCTTGTTTTTATAGTCACATCAGTCATATAGCCATCATCGAATCTTGGGATTAAAAACCAAAATTTAAACAAAAAGCTTGATATTTATAAAACCAGCCAACTTAATCGCATTGGTGAAATGCAAAAACGATTATAACTAAGATTTTTTTGAATAAATAAAAAAGTATTTTGTTCATATTTTAATCTTTTGATTAATAAATCTAAGAATTTTTCTTTTGCGTGCGTGCCAAAAATTAGTCTTCTGACCTTGGGGAAAATCCTGTTTCTTCTTTAAATGAAATATTTGTAATAACAATTTCAATTTTAGAAGTAAAATCGTGCCTGTTAAGTAAATATGTTCATAACCAATACTTTTCTAATAAAAAATGATAATTAAAATTGAATTGTTACCATTTTTAAATGACAATTCATCAGCTTCAGCGCCTTCATAATCATACAGAGCTCTTACTGGTACTCCAGGTTCTCCATTATCAACTAAAGCATCATTAGAACTTTCTTCCCAATCTTCTTGATCATCATCAAATGGATTTTGTTCTTGTTTCCCATTTCTAAACACATTAAAATTACAGTTAAAACAAAATTTATTCTTAAGTTAAATTCAATATCAATATATAAGGAAAAGCAGAATTTTTATATTATGTAATTAACTGAAAAGCCATCATTAATTGTTTTGCCACATTTACTGAATAGCAACAGCTAAAAATTTAACTATGTACAAAAATTAAAACTTTATTAATTTGAAGAACATATTACAAAAAGCGAATACAATCTTTTTATAAATAAATGTGGATGCGTAAAAACTTAACTGCTCTTTTATCCTTGATATTAAAGATTAATTTAGTAGCTTAAAAATGTACTCAAGCCATTTTTCAAAACATGAGAATTCAAATTAATGAATGGCAAAATACAAAAAAAGTGATTTATTATTTTTTGTGCATAAACAAAATTATATTATCAGCCTAGCTTTATAAGTAGTATTAACATAATTTGGCTGTTACAGTTCAGCTAATGATAATACAAACTTTATTGTACTATTTTAACCCTTTAACGATCGGTTAATTTTCAAAAAAATTATCATAAAAGTGCCTATTTTTTTATACACGTATTTGATTAGTGCTGACATCTAGTTTAAAATAAACTAACTATCTACAATTACCTTAAAAATATTCTGGTACTGAAATCTGGTGTGTAAAATGAGAAATAAAATGTTTTCCGAGCAAAAGAAATGAATTAGTTTTATTCTTATTGGCGCGTTACTACTGATCACTCCCACAGGAATATCACAGGAGAGAGAAATAGAAGGCGAAACCTCACCCTTTCATTTTCACGGGAGCGAGAAGGTAAAGTAGTCAAAAATCTGTTTCGAATGTGAACACTTCTGAAGAACAACTATTTAAAAGAGGTGTAATTTTTTTTCAAATCTTTACATGAAACTAAATTTAAATAAAAGGTCTTAATTTCAGGGGTAGCAGCTAAGTTTTTTAAAATTTTAGGGTAATTTTAGGAACTTTTTTCAAAAAATTTTAGGTAAATTTTAGGGGTAATATATGATTTTACTAGGATAAAAACAAATCACACGGTAGTTTATTACATAACAGAAGATTATTATAATTCATCCATACATATCATAAATAATTGCAGGCCATAAAATAAAGCTCTCAAATTTATGAAGTCAAGGATGAAAGCTCCAAAGTGTAAAAATGTAATTTCAACTTTACATATTACCTATCAAAAATTAAGTGCATAATTCAGGAACAGGCAAAAGTGAGAATAAATCAGGAGAAAAAATAAATTAACACCAACTTGGAATAATTAAATATACTTCATTAAATTGAAAACAATTCGTAAATTAAAATGCAACGCCAAATAAAAAATTAAGGAATATTTGACTAAAACTTTACGAACTTAAAATTATTATAAGCGATATTTCAAATCAGCAATTTATATTAGAAGTTAGAGAAAGCAAATTAATTATGATCATTTTGCTAATATATTCTTGATGTGATTTGTGAGATTCTTTTACTGCCCTCAATAGTGTTGTGGTGATCTTCAACACTCCTCCTTATTATCGAATGGTATCTTTGATTAGTCTAAGAGACATAATAGTATTCTCATCGTGACTCACATTAAGCATTGCTTTATTTATCGAAAAACCTCTCTCAGGATCAGAATTCCCATGTGGAAAAATTAAAACAATTTTAATTAATGTAGTTATATTCTTATATTTTAGATTATTGCTTTTCTATTTATATATAGCCTATAACTCTAATTTTTTAGGAACATCAACAAAATTTTATTAGATTTTTAGGAATTTTAGGGTTTGCACATAGTTTTAGGAATTTTAGGAGGAATGCGACCCCTGTAATTTGCAAATCAATGCATGAAAGATAAACTGAATTAATTGAAGCTTAAAATGCATAACAGTTATAGCGTATATTAGCAAACAAACAATCAAACACAAACCAAACATGAAAAATAAATTGAATAATTAACAATATTTTTGCAAGGCTAGCAAAGTAAAGCAAAAACAAACATTTAGAAAGTACAAAAACAGTTATTCTTTATATCACTACTTTTCTAGTAATCAAGACTAGATAAACATTCATTAAAGACTAGAATGAAGCATTCAATAACAGGCATAGCATGCTATAATGCAAATAGCAGAAAATCTAAAAAATAGAAAATCCATTAATTACGTCTCTTTCTCCTCAAATGCTTCATTTTNCTGAGTTCAAATATGCCGTATTTCATAAGATATTAATGTTATTATTAAATTCTGGTGAGATTGAAGTAAAAATATGTTTTAGTTATTTAGAGATTTATTGTTGAAAAAGCTGACAGGGTTGCTAGATTTTGAATAACTCGCTTTTTTGGCAGTCTTGATTTGGCCTCTTTCCATTTGTTTATTATTGTTTGTTCTTGTTGCAAGCTGTGCACCATCTTACGTTAGTGTTAGCATATTGTTCGAGGAGCAAGATTAAATTTATACATTAAAATTCAGGTTTAAATTTGAAAGTTGGCATATATTATTGACAAGGTAAGAAGTGTTTTATAACAATTATATTTTTCATATGTTAGGTTTACACATTTATTATTGATCAAACCACATGTTACTACTACTTAACGCTACTATTCCACAATTAATGCTAAAATTATACTATACCCTTTATGATTTGAACATTAACGAAATGATATAAGCTTATTGTTTTTTCATTTCGTCGTTGTGAGCCAAATGGCTTTGAAATACACCCGAAACAGTAACCCGGAAGTATAAGCGGCATACAGCTTGCAGCGCTCCTTAGTGTCGAAAACACCATCCATAGTTTTCTGCTATAATGATTATGCGACATTGTTACATAACAACAAGTTTTTGGGCAAGTTTTTCTCACGTTTCCTTTCTTTTTGAAGGTGTCGTTGACCTTGTCATCAAAATCGACCTTGATGCATGCTAAATTTTATAGGTACGCTCTTGTTTTCAGTCACCTGCATGCACCCTTCTTAGTGACGTAGGCTGATGAATATTGGAGCAGGAATGACTGTTTTTTCCTTGAACTAGTCACTACTTTTGATGAGAGTATAGGCTCTTGACGAGCGAGGCAATGTAAAATTAGGCAATTTTTTAAAAGATTGTTCACATCTGCTCATTAGTGGATATTTGAGTTAAAAATATGAAGTAGGTAGCAATACCTTACCTTGCATTATAGATCGAACAGTGTGTGACGACTATCACACGTTCAAGAATTGCTTTTCTTTGCTAAGTTGCGTCTTTTAGAATAAGATGTCTATCAATAATGGCGGACATTCTTGTGATGCCATTGGCAGATCCTTCCTGTTACTGTGATTTAGTTTTATGGGACTTGTTTGTTAGCTTCGGTTGAATAATGGTTCGAGATATAAGAAAAAAGTGAATGAACCCTCAAGTTAACTTTCATAAATATTTCAAAGTAAAACTTGTGACAAAGATTAAAGTTCATATGGATTTGGGAACCTGAGTTAAGATAGATGCTATGGTCCGAGTAGTGTTGAGCTAAACTCAAAGCAAAAATGCCAGCATTGCTGTTCTAAGTGTGAGAGATGGGGTAAGATAAATAAATACTACAGGATAAAGGGATTGTTTATTTTGTTATTTTCATTCCCTCTTTAACAACCATGTACAACAGTTAAAATGAACAAAATTTAATCAATACTTAATTAATATCTTAGAATATTTTTTGTTTAGTTTTCTTCAGTTAAATGTATTCTATTGAATTTAGTTTCCAAATTTTAAATTAAGTAGTAACTATCCTTAAACCTTTCTTTTCTTCATAATAACTGTAAAAAAAGTACCAAAAAAAGTTAGAATTTTAAATTTGGTAACTAGGTTTAATAGAACATTTCAGCGAAGGGGCAAAACATTTATAACTAGTTTGATAAATAAGAAAATTTCACTAAAGTTAACATAAGTTCATAACATTCTAAATTAAAATGGAAGATGCAGAATCTTTTCCTTGTTTGAAAAGGACTTAGACATTTATTAATCCATTGAACTTCTTAATCATTACAATAATCTAAACTTTTAATGCAATGTTTTGGAATACCTGCTTTATATAGTCGAGGGTAGTTGTTTGCAAGTTTATTAGCAATTTGCTAATTTGTGTAAAGCAGAAAATCAATGTTTTGTAAAAATTTAGAAGAGATTTATGTTTAAAGAAAGTCATGCTTAGATGTTAAGTTTCAATTTTAAATAATTTATTTAGAATATTTATATAAATTTAAACACTTTAACTCCCCCCCCCTTTGTTTTTGCTATTAGTTTGCCTATACTAGATTAGGTAACAATACTAATTTAAATAAATGTTAGCAAATAACTTTTTACTTTATCCTAGAAAAAACTTGGTCTGTTTATATTACATACACAGACCAACTATTTGCCTTTTCTATATTGATTGCCACAGGCAAAAAATGGTGACTAATGAAACTCAAAATTTTATTAACAGAGCTACTTAGAATTTTATTAAAAAAGCCATTAGAAGTTAGCTACTTTTTATAGCATATTTTTTTCCAGTTTACTATTGAAATTGAATGCTAAGAATATTTTTGCTTTAAATAGGAATTTGAAATGTAAGTCCGAGTGGAGGTTACGATTTAATAATTAAAGAGATTAAAAATGTATAAAAAATCTACCACTTATTACATTTTTAGTTACATGTAGCATCCCTGCAATATAAATTTTTTTACATCAATAGTTCATTGAAAATATTAATTTGGAATTCATACTCACAAGTTGATTCCTGAATTTCGGTTTGAAGATGGCTTGTTTTTGTCCATACGCATTTTGGTCGCTGGTCCATCAGTTCCCCGTTTTTCCTTTTTAGAACCATTTTGAGTTTCAGTAGAATATTCCTACATCACAAATTAAGTTAACTTTTGCTATTATAAGTTGCATACACACAATATTCATAAAATTAAAATGAATAAAAGGAAATAACATTGAAAAATTGTTCCCATTTTTCCTTTTTAGAACCATTTTGAGTTTCAGTAGAATATTCCTAGATTACAAATTAAGTTAACTTTTGCTATTATAAGTTGCATACACATAATTTGTAAAATTAGAATGAATAAAAGAAAATAGCACTTAGTAGTCAATTTACATGAAAATAAAATATAGCTAAGTTTTTAAGGGCTTTTTCTCCTACTTTTAATTTAAAAAAATTCCTAGCGGAATTTGTATTAAGTAATTTCAATATTAGATTAATAATAATCTGAATTTTTTATAGCAATCATAATTTGGATAAGTACAAACCAGAATTGCAATGAAAAACCTATTGCATTATTAGCATTTTTTATCAGAATAAAAACTTTGATTTTATTTTTGAAATATTAATTCTTTTAGATTATAAATGTATTGAGAAAATACTATTAAATGCTCTAGTAGAATGATAACAAATTCTATTTTTCAACTTTGATTTAATGTTTTTCTTACAACCCACTAACAATAACTCTAACTGTGCTAAACTATTGTGTGGAAAGTAATTAAATAAAATAGGCAATTATGAAGATTTTACTTCAGCAATAAAATTATTACCAACATTGAAATAAAATAAGTTATGCCCATGATATTTTATATTTAATGGGAAGCATACCAATAAAAAGTGCCCTTTAAAGTAAGAGGTTGGGAAAAATAATAATTCAAGCAAGGCATCGTTATTCCCTTAAGTCCAAGGTCAAATAGTTAATTATATTTACTATATTACATTTATAATTACTTAAGTATTTCGCACGAAATGAAAAAATTTTTGATTTGATAATCAAAGTAAAACTAAAGGATTCTATACTATGTTTTAAGCTACAATAAGTGAAATTTTGTTAAAATTAAGGAACAGCAAGCTATTTTCTGATATAGATGTACAAAAATGCTTTTATACAATTGTTTAAGGATTTACTTTCACATCAGTATACATCTTAATCTTAAAAATACACATTTTTCGAAGTTAAAAATATATTTATATTTAATTAATAATAAATTAAATATATATTTCAACTTGGGACGTACACTGAAAGTAAATAAATAAAAGTTCAAAAATAACGTTAAAAAATATTTGAAAAGTGAAATCATAATATGGTTGCAACATCAACCATTGAAAAACTGTGCTAAAAATAATCAAATTTAGTGTTTAAGAATACTAAGCTCAAGAAAGTTTGGAAATTAAATTCAACTTAACTTTATTTAATTATTAAAAAAAAAACTAGGGCTAATTAAAGATTTAAAATAGAGATATAATCATAAAATATTGATATTTCATGGAATGCTGGTATTTCCTCTTTGCCCAATTTACATTACTATTGGATTTCAATGAACAATGTTACCCAAATAGAAAAAAAAATATTTAAAAATTTTTTTCAGCAACTAATTAATTAAATAAAATAAATAATTATGAATTTCATAACATACAATAAAAACAATACTGTAATCAATAATTATTGGATATTATCTAACTCAAGGCACATTGTAAGATTATGTTTCATACATCTTTATTGCGATCTTTAAAAAATACCAATATCATCCAAATCAAAATTATATTTTTTCATCATAAATTCTTTTTGAGTAATTGCGTCTCTTGATTTTTTTGGGAAGGGCAATAAAATTCAATGTAATGTTTTCCGTATTTCTAATAGGTCTAAATTTTTTGCCATTTAACACATACATTTTCTTTAAAAAACTTAGAAAAATAATATGTATCAAAGTTTATTAATGGTTATATTGAGAAAATGTTTGAAAAGAATCTTATGAACTTAAAACAAAAAGGTAACTGGGTTTTTTTCCTACTTCTCATGAAAATATCAAACAATGACAATAGAATTAATAACATAAAAAATGAACATATAGATAGCACATGAGCAACAATTAAAAGAGTCTACACTGTTTAACATAGTTTGTATTTTGCGATAGAAAAGAAGAAAAGTGTAAGACAAGAACACTCCACCATACAAAAACAAATTCACAAAAATTACTACATAAAATAAATTTTAAATTCTATTTTTGAAGTATGCTGAGTTTTTTTTTAAAATTCATAACAAAAAATTTTCCATTTACATTTGTTCACACCTAAAAAAATTACAGTTTAGGTTCTATGGAGTTTAAACACATTATAGATGTTTTCAGAAATTAAAAATATAAAAAATAGAGCAAATATTGCAAGCAAATTTTGTTGATTATTGTATATGCCTTAGTTTTTACAAAAATAGAGGCACACAAGTCCCAAAACAATGAAAATATTGCAGACTTGGGCAAACAAGATCTTCAGAGAGATTTACAAAATTTGTTGTTTGATACATTTTTTTAACGTAGAAAAATTTAGAAATTTGTTATGAGTAAGCTCTACAGCATTTCCAAATGAAGTTGTTTGACTCACAGTGTGATGATGCACATATTTCAAACTTCTTTCTTTATATTTCAAAGATTAAAATTGATTCAACAACATTTATACATGAAAAGAATGAAATTTAATTTCAGACACTAAAAATATTTGAGCGTTTTTTTAAAGATTAGTTTATGTTTATGAATAATTTTTTTCATTTTCTTTTTGAAGAAAATTAAATTTGTCCAACATAAACTTTAAATAATTAAAAACTGGAACATTAATTATGACTAGTATGAGTATTAAGATAAATTCTGAATTGATAAGAGTAAGTATATTAATAGATTGTTTTAATGTATTTTTTGCTAAAATAATTTATAAATAATCTGATAGTTAGATAAAATGTATCTTTNATGAATAAAAGAAAATAGCACTTAGTAGTCAATTTACATGAAAATAAAATAGAGTTAAGTTTTTAAGGGCTTTTTCTTCTACTTTTAATTTAAAAAAATTCTCAGAGGAATTTGTATTAAGTAATTTCAATCTTAGATTAATAATAATCTGAATTTTTTATAGCACTCATAATTTGTATAAGTACAAACCAGAATTGCAATGAAAAATCTATTGCATTACTAGCATTTTTTATTAGAATAAAAACTTTGATTTTATTTTTGAAATATTAATTCTTTTAGATTATAAATGTATTGTGAAAATACTATTTTTCAACTTGGATTTAATGTTTTTCTTACAACCCACTAACAATAATTCTAACTGTGCCAAACTTTTGTGAGGAAAATAATTAAATAAAATAGCCAATTATGGAGATTTTACTTTAGCAATAAAATTATTACCAACATTGAAATAAAATAGTTTATGCCCATGGTATTTGACATTTAATGGGAAGCATACCAATTAAAAGTGCCCTTTAAAGTAAGAGGTTGGGAAAAATAATAATTCAAGCAAAGCATAGTTATCCCCTTAAGTCTGAGGTCAAATAGTTAATCAAATTCACTATATTACATTTATAATTACTTAAGTATTTCACGTGAAATGAAAAAAATTTTGATTTGATAATCAAAGTAAAATTAAAGGATTCTATACTATGTTTCAAGCAACAATAAGTGTAATTTCGTTAAAATTAAGGAATAGCAAGCTATTTTCTGATATACATAATCTGATATAGATATACAAAAATGCTTCTATACAATTGTTTAAGGATTTACTTTGACATCAGTATACATCTTAAGCTTAAAAATACATATTTAAGTTAAAAATATATTTATATTTAAATAATAATAAATTAAATATATATTTCGACTTGGGACATAATACTGTAATCAATAATTATTGGATATTATCTTATTCAAGGCATATTGTAAGATTAGATTTCATACATCTTTATTGTGATCATTATATTAACATCACTCAAATCTATTTTATATTTTTTCTTCATAAATTCTTTTTGAATATCTTGTTGTAGTTAATTTACGTCGCACTAGAGCTGCACAATGGGCTATTGGCGACGGTCTGGGAAATATCCTGGAGGATGATCCGCTGCAGAGGGGATTGAGTATCTTGATTTAGCTTTTTTGAGAAGGGTAATAAAATTCAATAATATGCTACACAAGGAAATGTTTCTGTAGTTCTAATAGGTCAAAATTTTTGCCATTAAACACATATTTTTTCTTCAAAAAACTTAAAAGGTAACTGGGGCTTTTTCCTGCTTTTCATGAAAATATCAAACAATGACAATAGAATTAATAACATAAAAAATTAACATAAAGATAGCACATGAGCAACAATTAAAAAGAGTCTACACTGTTTAACATAGTTTGTATTTTGCGATAGAAAAGAAGAAACGTGTAAGACAAGAAATGCAATTGAAACACTCCACCATACAAAAACAAATTCACATAAATATTTTTTTTGAAGTATACAGCTGAGTTTTTTCAAATTCTTTACAAAAAAAATTTCCATTTACATTTTGTTAACACCTAAAAAAATTATAGTTTTGGTTCCATGGAGTTAATACTATCTATAAGTATAATAGTTGTTTAAATACAATATAGATGTTTTTGAAAATTAAAAATATAAAAAATGGAGCGAATATCGCAAGTAAATTTTGTTGATTATTGTATATGCCTTAGTTTTTACAAAAATAGAGGCACACAAGTCCCAAAGCAATGAAAATATTGCAGTTTTGGACAACACACAAACTTGGGCAAACAAGATCCTCAGAGAAATTTGCAAAATTCATTGTTTGATATATAGATATTTTTAAACACAGAAAAATTTAGAAATCTGTTTTGAGTTAGCTCTACAGCATTTCTACATGAAATTGTTTGACTGACAGTGTGATGATGTGCATATTTCAAGTATTAAACTTCTTTCTTTATATTTCAAAGATTAAAATTGAGTTAATAACATTTATACATGAAAAGAATGAAATTTAATTTGGCAGCACAAATATTTGAGCGTTTTTTTTTTAAATAGATTATTTGTATTTCTGAATCTTTTTTTCCATTTTCTTTCTGAAGAAAATTAAAATTTGTTAAATATAAAACTTTAAATGATAAAAAACTGGAACATTAATTATGACAAGTATGAGTATTACAGGGATGAAAGTACCAGTTCGCAAAAAAAGCTGAATTGTACATAAACGCAATCAAACATTATGAAATTAATAAATGTATGGAGCTTTAAAAAAAGCTGAATTCAGAGTAAAAGCTGAAAACTTTCATGTCTGGTATTAAGATTGACTTGAAGATAAATACTGAATTGATAATAGTAAGTGTATTACTAGATTGTTTAAATGCATTTATAGTTAAAATAATTTATTAAGAAATTTATAAATAATCTGATAGTTAGATAAAAAGTTTGATCTAATGGATAAAAGAAATAAAAATTCAATATTTGACTTTTAATAAAGCTAAACAAAATAAATTCTCACATTTTTACAAAAACTCTATAGAATCTTTTTTTTTTTTTAATCTAACAATATTCAAAAATTTTATTGCATTACTAATAGAAATGCACAAAAAACATTAATTTTCTTAAAAATAACCAACATTAAGTAGAATAATAATTTAACATTATTCATAAAAATTGCTCAACGAGTTTCATCATTTGATTCCTGAAGAAATTTTGGCACCCAATTATTAACATATAAATAGAATCTAAAAGATATAAAATATTTAATGACTATTTGATTTCTTTTTAAACTTATAGCTACAAATAAAGATTTTATAATATAGAAATTATATTTTTCTAGTGAACTAACAAGGCAGATACACGTAAATTGGAACAGCAGTACAAAACAACACATTAAGCAAATAAAAGAGCAGCTAAGAGAAGAAAAGCAGAGATTGAGAGACTCCATATCCATGTTAGTGTAGACAAAGCTAGAAAAAGAGACAACAAAACAATTATTACAGGCAAATCTTCTCCAATTTTCTGCTGGTTGACCAACAGGATTCCGCTTTCTGGTACAGCTCCTTTTTTAAGTTTACCAATATCACGGAACTCTTCACAATATTCCTGATACAAAGCAAATCACAGATGACAACAAGAATAAAATAAGATATAGTTAATAGAAATTCAAAAACACATTTACAATAAAAGCACTCCAGCAATGTAAAAACGCTGTCATAAGTATAGTAAAAAAGCTAAAATTAGAATACTTTTAAAGCAGTAACATAAATGAGCAACACAAGCACCTATGCTTAATAACTAAGCAATTTTTAGTTTCTATTAAATTTAGATTTTTTGTTGGTTTCTTTGTTTGAGATTTGTGGTTTTTATAAAACATACAACGAAACAATGTATGCTGGCAAAACTTCATAGGATATTATTAAATTCTATGCAAGCAATTGCTTAGATCATCTAATGTTTGTAATAAGTTCTACTGCCATTGGCAATTACTGGGAGAATATGCAATCATATCAATATTATAATAATAAAAAATCTTTACAACCTACTTTTGAATTGAATGCACAGTCAGCATACTTACATCTAGTTTTATTTTAACAAGTCTTTAATTAAACTGGAACCGGTATGAATGCAGAGTCCCTAGTCAACGACATTAATTCCTCATCACTTCTCCATGGCACGTGGAAATACATTTTACCCTACTCTGCCACTGTGGTTTCTCTTGTTCTGTTTTTCACCTTTTTTTTCTCCTCTCACACCAACTGTGTTTTTTCTAGTTTAGTTTCTCATCTTTATTCTTCAATTTTCTGTTGGAAACTTCACGTTTTTATTTTTCAAATCATTTATGTTTTTCCTTATTTACGCCTGGCAAGAATTTTTAAGCACTTGAAACACGTCAAATGTTATTTCCTATTTATATATTTATTGAAGTGAATAAAGCTTTTCTAATCAAGTAAACTAGTATTGCAAGACCATTTTCTGTTATAACCAGTATAGCTTTGATTTATTTTTAATGATTTAACAAGTGAATAAGTAGAAAATGAAGCTTTTTAAGTCTATGCTAGTATTGCAGTATATATTATAAATAAGTAAAAATCATTTAATGATTTTTTTCAAGAATGAATACATTTGCACTAAAAATAACATTATATTTAATATTTCATAATAAAAAATAATATTTGAATTTGTCAGCTTAGTTAAATCGGAATATAAAGTATTTTCAAAATGTGTGTTGTTTATTTTATGACTGAGAACAGTATTTGTGTTCAATTAGATCAACTGACAAAATATGTAAAAAAGAGGTGAATAAATGATATTAATGCATTCGTATGAATAAATTGAGACTAAAAAGTTTAAAATTTTAGGAATTACAAAGTAAAATGCAATCATGAAAATAAGTTTAACTAAGATAGTTTTAAAATCATAAGAGGTAGAGAAACAAAAAATATTTTATATTAAAAGAATTTTCAATGTTTACTTCAAATTGGGGCCAGTTCATAGCCATTCCAACTCCATGATTATTGGACCACCATTTCAAATCTTTTTTCGCATCAGCATTTTGTATACTGTGCCTATATTCTTCATATATCTGAGGAAGTCTGGAAAAAAAAAAGGGTTCCTTTATCAATCTTAACAAATCTTTGCCAATTTATTGTCAAAATATTTATGATTCTTAATCTAATTCAAAGTTTCAAAGCTTTATCTCCTTAAATCAAAATCAAACCCTTTAATGCCATTAATATTCACAGGGTTGCCACAGAAAAAATGAACAAAATAGTTGCTTTTAGTTGTCTAAAACATGAAAATAGTAGCCAAAAACTAGGAAAATAGTTGCCTAAATAAGAACAAAAATTCATCAAAAATATGACTAATATTTTTTTCATCACTTAATTGTCATATACCATGATCCATTCAGTCATGTTGGTGGCAAATATGATCATTTTTATANATATATAAAGTGATTACTCAAAATTCGCACAAAGTAAGATCGCATAATTTTTTTTTAAAAATCATGCGAAATTTCGTAGAAATAATCATTAAAAAGGTGATCGAGAAATGAAATAGACTTACAATGGAGTCTGTGCAGATTGAACGATTTAAAAAGTGAAGTCTCAAATTTGCTACATTTTTCTTTTTTTAAGAAAAAAAAAAGTTCAGTGTGTTCAGAAACTATCTTGTGGGGTGTAGATTTTCCACCTAATTTATGCTTTAAAAAAACATCGCAAGGAGTACAGAAAAGTCTCCCAATAGTCTCCTTTTCCTGAAAATAGCTGCTTATTTAGCCTTTTCAGGCAAAAATAGTTGCCTCAGTCGCCTCAAGCCAAAAATAGTTGCACTTTAGTTGCCTGGGGGCAACCCTGTATTCACAAAAATTCTTTACTTTTTAATAATATTTTATTTTCTGTTAAGTAATTTCTTATTGCTTTTAAATGTTAAGCATTTTTTGGAAATAATTATCATAATTTTCTCTCTCCTTCAAGCAGTATGACGTCCATGATGAAAAGGATTGAAAGTATGTAGTTTTTCCTCCTTATTGCACATTATGACATAACTAGGGAGTTTTTCTGCAACATTTCCTCCAAATAATCCCTTCTATTATTAAAAGGGGAATATACCGATTTGGCAGGCATTCCTCTGCTCTCGCTAATAATTGTAGAGTTCTAAAATAAAAAATTCTTTTATTACCTTATCTACTCTCTTTTTTTGGTTCCACTGCTTTATAAATTTTTTTTCCAGTCAATTTAAGACTTGTGTATCGTAATACTATAAACTTGAATGTCCTTTTTTTTTTCCCTTCAGATTTTTCTAATTGATGCATATGTCTCTAATCACTATCGCATTAGAAATATAACTAGTTTAAAAATACAGTTGGTCAAAAAATAATAAAGAGATTTGGAACAACTTTTCAAGTTGTTCGGCTTCATATGGTTAATTTGGAGCTGGCAAGTATGTAATTGGAACAATTAAATAACTTAATTTTTTGAATTACTTCAGAATATATAGCCAACTTGACACAGGATTTGGATCAGGAAATATCCATTGATACAGTTAGAAGCAGGTTTGGGACCACTGATACTTCAGTTTTGACGAATAAGAAGAAATACATAACTCATTATTTATGTCATTACATAGAAATGTTTAGATTAATGTTACTTACTCAGGATCTGTTGAAATGTTAAGGCAACCATGAATACCAAAAAGCATTTCTTTAAAAAAATCTAATCGCTTTTCTTCAAATTCTTGGCACTTATCAAATACAACTGTCATGTCTTCCATATACTTGGCATTATAATCATTGATTTCTTCTAAGGCTTGTTGATATCTCTCTTTCGCTCTCTGTGCTTCAAATTTACATTTAGTAACACGGTCCTGTAGTTTAGTGACCTAAATGAAATAAAAAATGTCTAAAGAACAATAGTACAAAGTGAATCAGTAATAATAATAATAAATTAAAAAATTCTGTAACACACTACTAAAGAAAATACAGTAAACTATTAGAAATTTTTAAATTTTTTTTAAAAAAAATTGATTACTAATAACTGATAAATTTTGAATGGTATAAGTATTTAATAGTTTAACCTAAACAGGATAAACAATTTTAATTATTTCATGTAAATTGAAAGCAAGATAAAGCATGGTAAAGAACTAAAAAACTGAAAATAGAAATCCAAAGATGTTAGGGGCAAAACACACTTTTAATAATTGCACAAAACACATTTTTAATACACTTTTAATTTTACACTTTAAAAAACTCTTACCTTATTTCTAATTTAAATACTACAGGGATTAAACCCTTACTCACTATTGCTCTCTGAATGACTGGTAAAAATATTAATTTTAAAGCCATTGTTTTTTTTTTCACACTTAAAATTCTGAATACCGTAAAAAAACTAATTACTCTGACAGTAATTAAAAATTTAAACTAAGTCAGATGTAGTATTTATCTTCAGGCATAACAGTTACAAAGATTTATAATTCCCCTGATATAAGTTTTCCTTAGAAATAAGCAAAATATAATATTTTTTCATCTATTAGTTTTCACATTCAGAAGCACAGCAAAAAAATTTCTGTAATAGCAATGGTGTCAGTAATGTCTTTTTTATATTAAAGAAATTAGTTATCCAGCTTTGCAAGAATTTTTATATAATTAAAAACTTTTGTTTATTTATTTTTTTAGTAATAGTTTACCAGCCAATATCATAGTAGACAATCTGATCCTATCATTCCCTATTTAAAATTTGAAACCTTTATGTGTGCGGTTGTATATGATAATTAGACTAATTTTTGAATGCATTAATGAGACCCAAGACCAATCTCTGTCAGCAATTAAAAGCTGTAAATGATATCTTTTACTTAGCAAAAACTAAGCAGTAATTTAATTGGATATTGGCTAAACTAAATTATGACAGGAACAAAAACAATAAAAGTAAAACTTCCCAGCCAATTCTTAAACCAAATAGTTTATTTTCGAGAAGCTATGAAACGGAGTTTGTATGTTTAAGTTTCGTATCATTAGCTGATCCTAGGCTAAACTAGATTGTTTGCTTTTACTTACAATTACAGACTTGTAAGATTTCCAAATTTTTATCTGAAACGAAAAGAAATTATGCCGATGAAAAGATTTGCAGATAAAGGTTGTCTTAATGAAGATATTACCTATGCTGTATATAACCTTATGCCATAATGTGATGTTTTTTTGTTGTTGATGTTTTAAATTTGCCTTTCACATATTTGAACAAAATGATACGTTTAAATTTTATAAAAAATCATATCAAATTGCTCTTAGATTGTAACGACCTGCAAGAAGACAATTTAAAAAAATATTAATAATAACTTCTTCAAGTTAACTAAGATGCACTTCAATTACCTAACATAAGTACATATTTCATACAATTAGGAACAAGTACAGCTCACAAAATTTATCGTACTGTTTTCTATATATGTTTCAAGCTAAATGAGAAAGAGTGGATAATGATCAAAATTAACTCAGTTGGTACTTACAGCCATAAAAATTTTAAAAGCAGTAATTTAGCCTAGCTATAATAAAAATGATTGTGGCATACAAAATAATTTCATTTTTTAACAAATGTACGGCTATTAATGTTCAATTTTATAGTACTCGCAACCTGGAATTTCTGAACCTAGCATGAAGACAATGGAACTCCTGTATCAAGCATAGGAACCTAACATGCAATAGCATTACTTGTTGAGGAACTGTACAAGTGAAATTTATATTCCCAGTCACACGACTGGGGATATTTTAAGTCAGAACTGTGGTGTTGTGCCAGCTGGGAGTAGTATATAATCGACCAACCTATATTGAAATTTGAACCTGGAACACCAGTTAGGTGAACTTTCAATTCCCTGATCTATACCGATCAGGGGATTGAAAATATACCTTATTTTATAGCCATCTTTGAATAGCAGACCTAATTTTTGAGTTTACGACAACTAATGTTCAATTCAATAGCCTTGTAATTTTTAACCCAATCCTGAAGACAAGCGAACTCTTGGATCAAGTATTTTGGGAGAAATTTGTGGGAAAAATCGGTCTAACAGTTCATGAGAAATCAATTTTTAAGTATCTGACTTTTTTTAAAGTCAATTTCTCAGGAACTAATTGACCAATTCTACTCTAATTTTGTAATATAAAATTACATTCTTTAAAATTATGCAAAAAATTGTATACCTTACAATTCAAAATTTTTTCGACCATTCTCATATAAAATAATGAAAAATAATAAATATCTACTAAAAGTTATTTTTTGCATGGAAATTATCTTTGGATAAACAAATTTTATAATTGAGTGTAAAAATTTTTCCATTCGCTTAAAAAGTTCTTGAGATATAGAAAAATATGTAAAAAGTAAAATTAACATTAAGGGGTCCAAACTTAGGAGCACTCTCCAGACCAAACTATGGGGACCATATTTCTCAGATTGCTTATATTTTGAGTAAATTTGCAAATATTACATTCCCTAATATTTTGGAGGCATAAATCCAAATTCCTTGGAAAAAAAGGGTATGTTTATTCAGAGACAGTAGGTTTTTGGGTCTAATTTTGTAACTTAAAATATCGCCTGCACTTATTAAGTAGCTTATTTGATGTAATATTATATTCCCTAATATTTTGGAGGCATAAATCCAAATTCCTTGGAAAAAAGTGTATGTTTGTTCAGACACAGTAGGTTTTTGGATCTAATTTTGTAACTTAAAATATCGCTTGCACTTATTAAGTAGCTTATTTGATGTCACATTTGAGCCATTATGATTGATTCCCAAAACGAGAAAATTTAAGTAATAGACCAAAAGTTATTCAGAGTGGTCCGTTTTTTTTTTTTTTTGCCACACTGCTCTTATATGATATTTATAAAACCTTAGATTTAGTAAATCCTAGTGAAGATTCTTAAAGTTTTGAACTCATTGAAATCTATGAAAGGAATTACTTGATCAGGTGATAATGAGGTATCTGCCGAAGCATTTCTTTCTTGGTTGACAGCCGACCTTTCGTTTTTACAAGCTTGATGATAGTCGGCTTTGGATTTATTGACTCTCGCTAAAAGCTTTGCCCAGGACTTTTGAGCCTAAAACATAAACCATTAAAATGTATATTTAGAAAGTTTTAATTGGATAGTTTTAATTGCTCTGAAATAATCTAGTACTTAGTTACTTTCTTAAAACTATCATCCATTTCCTTTTTTTCTTTAATATTCATCATAGTTTTATGGAAGTTGTCTTTTTGCCACAGTTTAATTTGTGTTACTGTATCATTTAGGAGCTGGTCTTTAACTCTAAGGTGCATGTCACAGCGCCTATCTGCTTCAATGAGAACAGCTTTCCAGGCAGCTTCTGTTGTACCATATTCAGGACCTACAAAATACAACATCTAGTTAATAGTAGTGTTAAAAAATTTCTTCCTGAAATTGTATGCCATACATTTGTAAAATATTTCAAGCTTCTGAACCTAGTTTAAAAAAAAAAAAATTTCAAGACAATTTCACTGTTTTGTCTCGCATATGTTACACATAAATAGTAAAGAGAAAAAGCATTTTTGTAAATATGCATCTGTACCTGAAATATCTTTGTACTCAATGAGTGAATACAATAAAAAAATAATAAAAAAACTTTATTCATATTTTAGACACATCTGTATACTAAAGAAACCTCTAGAAAAACTTAAATTTCTGTAATTTATTAATACATCTGACTTTGGTGTGCTCTTCTACTAAAATAGTTGCCGACAGGGCTCGAAAAAAACTCAGAAATTTTACCTGTCCCCGAGGACGGCTTGTCCAACAACGCACCCGTCCACCTTTGAAACTAACCCGTAGCTTCTAAATAAATAAAAATGTAATTTTCTCTTATTTATTACAAACATTTACATAATTGCACAATGAATTAGTAGTTACTAGGATTACATTATTCAGTAATAAAAGAATTAACGGGATTTCTAGATTAGAGGGTCATTTTAGAAGTGAGGTGCTAGACTAGGGGTGCACAACCTTTTTCAGTGAAGGGCCACATGCACAGCAGATTGACCAATGAAGGGCCGCATGCCAAAGTGTTTAGACCGACATATTGAAAGCAATTGTTGGTGGTGATTGTTATATAAACATCATTGTTTNTAAATCACGGGGAAAACGTAATAGCTACTAAAACAATAACCAAAATACTTTTATATTTCAGATGAAATTGGAGTAAATAAAGTCCATCAATATTGTATGTAATTTAAATGCGGGATTTGAAATTAAAATATCGCAATAGCGTATAAAAAATATCGGCACTTTCAAAACCTTGTAGAAATTTGTAGCAATAATTTCTAAAATAACGATTGAAAAATAATTTGATTTGGGATAAAATCGTTACAAATAAGCCATGTCAAAATATGGTTATCTAAATGAGCGATTCTTTACTCGCGATTCGTAATAATATCGAGCTAAAATATGGAAGTTTCAAAAACCGGGCGGAAATGTGCAGCAATAACTGTTGAAGAAAGGATCTTAAGTCATTTAGATTTTCCATGAAGTTTACACAAATAAAGCGTTTCATAACTTTCAAAAATCGCTATTTCAGAAACTACTTGAAAATGGGTAGCAATAACTACCGAAAAGTCATTGGAATCGGCACATACGAAAATCGTCAAAAGTGGTAATCAAAATTCGTAAATCGTAATAATGATGTATTAAAAATATTGGGAGGTGCGTCAAAAACTTAAAAGTGCAAATTTAAATTACCGATTTTTTTATTATTTTTCAAAAACAAATATTTAATTTTTTTTTTTTTTTTCATTTTGTTCAGATTGCGGCCGCGGGCCGCACATCGAGGGTTGGCGGGCCGCAGGTTGAGCACCCCTATAGCTGCTAGACTCTTGTAAGAAAACAAAAATTGAAAATGTATCACGAACATCAGCGGGAAAATGGCCGGCCGCGCGGACGTCGGATTCGAGAAATTTGTTGCCCGCGGGGAATTTTTGACCGCTGAGGACGGGTGGTTTTTCGAGCCCTGGTTGTCGATTAAACAATAAGTAAATAAAACACAGAAAAATATTAGGTGCTGACAATGATTTTTTGAGTGCCATATCATCCGGGATCTCAAGTTATGGGTTGCAAAAAGAAAATTTTAAACATCAATACGTTGTTAGATGTCATGTTTCTTATTCCTCCAATTAATTTTCAAAATCTATTTTAACTCGACTGCCAACTGGACATTTAAAAACTCTCAGATTTTCCCATGGCAGTAAGACATTTTCATTTTACACTAAATGTAGTAAAGCAGAAGCCATTTTGCAACATCTGATTAACTGTGTTAACTTGGTACATTATGATATTCTGAAGAGACCTATGTATGTTTTCGAGGTATTTAGGATGAACGAACTCATGGATGCCACGATACTCTGAAGAGACATAGGCATGTTTTGGAGGTATTTAGGATAAATAAACTCATGGACGCCAAGACATTCTGAAGAGACCTATGTCCGTTTAGTATTAACGAACTCATGGATGTGACAACATTCTAAATAGACCTACTATGTTTGTTTTAGAGGTGTTTAGGATGAACGAGCTCATGGACACCACAACATTCTGAAGAGACCTATGTCCATTTTGGAGATATTTGGGATTTGGAGGTGTTTAGGATGAACGAACTCATGGACGCCACAACATTCTGAAGAGACTTATGTCCGTTTTGCAGATATTTGGGATTTGGAGGTGTTTAGGTTGAACAAACTTATGGATGCCACAGCATTCTGAAGAGACCTATGTCCGTTTTGGAGATATTTGGGATTTGGAGGTGTTTAGGATGAACGAACTCATGGACGCCACAACATTCTGAAGAGACCTATGTCCGTTTTGGAGGTATTTGGGATAAACAAACTTATGGAAGCCAAGACATTCTGAAGAGACATACGTCCGTTTTGGAGGTGTTTAGGATGAAGAAACTCATGGATTTGATCAGAGGGATAAGTATCAACATCATCAATTGCAAAATAAAATGTTCCTATCAAATTTTATTTTAGGTGCAGTAAGAGAAAATAACAAAGTAAAAACTGACGAGTAAAAGTATTTACAGGTAAAAATATAGATAAACAAGTTCATACCTTTTTCTATTGTCTCATTCCACTTTTTAGACCAGTTCCGCAAACTTTTGGCATAGGTTTTTTCTATTTCACTCCTTTCTTGAATTAAAAGTATGAGATCATTACACAATCTAAAACTGTCCTCTATCCTTTTTGTTGTTCTTTTGTAGTTACCAGGTTCCCAGAAGCTGTCGCTGCCCACAAGCAGCATCGCATCATCACTGTGGTGTGACATTGTCTGTTTATCTAACTAAAAACAATAAGACCAAATGAAAGAAATATATTAAGAGAACAAAGTTTAACATCAGTTTAAATCTAAAGCAATAATTTTATTTTAAAACCGGTGTTTAATAGCTGACCAAATCTGAGTTTAGGGCTATCAAAGTTCAACTGTGTAGCTTTGTAAATATGAACCCAAACCAGAAGACATGCAGGAGTTTGTCCAGACCAAATTTACTACTGTTTAGCTGTACCTTCACGAAATATATTTTCTTAAAATTTTATTTTTGTATTGATTTCTTAATATAATTTTCACAAATTATGTCTAAATTTTCACAAAATAGACACCTTTCAGAAAAACCTAGACAGACCCCTGACATGGGAAATCAAGTTTTGGGATTAACTAGCCTTCGTGAAGGATTTTTTGATGGAACTAATCTGCATTTGATTAACATGAAGAGAAAAACCTTCCACGGTTAGCGCGACAGCAAGAGGGTTCTAACCCATGATGGAAAAGCAATAATTTATAATTAGGTTCATGATTATGAAATATTAGATTTTCTTTCCATGTAAATGTTTTTTTCTTCTTCCTGTTTTTGTTATGCTTTTGGCCAAAGCCATACTTAAAAGGGAGAGGAGCAATTGTCCCAGGGCCCTGGACTGCTGAGGGCCCAACCAAAATTTATTACAAAAACTATAGTGTTTATTAATTAATATTTTAAAATAAAATTGTACAGGATATCTTTATATCTGCATGAAAACTTTAATTTTGTACGAAAGACCTTCAAAATTTTCCCAAAATATGAAAATAAGGGCACTTTCTGCTTTGAGGAAGGGATCCGTTATAAATTTTTTTTTCTGGGCCCATAAAACCTGTTTCGCCTTGCTCTTGACATTACCTCCTTTATAGTCAACTTAATGTACATGAAGTCCCATTGCAACGAAAATTTTATAAAAAATGCTCCATGTTATTATTTGTTTTGAATTTTGTAAAAATAGGAATTCAGCCGATATTCATGTAATTTTTTATTGGAGTGTTTACTAGGTAACTAGAGGCAAAATTTTTTTTTTCAATTTCAGAATATTTTTGTAATTTCACATTAGTTTTATATTTCAAATTAGTTTCACTTCAAATTATCGCTTTTGCGTCTTCCTTTTAGATGTTTTTATTAATTTAAAATTTAAATCTTTGATTGGAATTTTTAAACATACATGCGTCATTTAAAATTTTATTTTCTTTAGGGTTGAATTTGGCAATTTAAATGTATTTACTACCAGGTAAAAATTTAACTAAACGTAGCTTATAAATTTTTCAATTTTAATTTCCATTTTTTTAATGTCTATCAGTACTTAATACTGAGAATAGTGCATAAATATTTTAAAACTAAAATAACTATGAAAAAAATTATCAAATGCTTGTTCTCATTTCTATTAGCACATTTTAAACTTCATGGTAGAAAGTTGTGCCTTGGGATAATGAACTGACAAATATGTAAAATCTTATTTAAACATAAACTTAATTTCTTTTTTTAAAATTATAACTTTAACCATTAGAAAAAGCCACAAAAAACTAGCAACTAAAACACTGAATTAGTGTTTTCATTGACTGAGGTAAAGCAAGTTTCATCACTTTAAAGTATGGATTTTTTAAAGTTCTAATTAAAAACATATGCGCAATTATAATTTTATTCAGAATTTTTAAACATACTCATATTTTATATAAATTTCATGATAGGTGAAATTAGCGAGAAGCTAATTTCACCTATGAAAAAAAATTGTGCAAGCATTTCCAAGAGTTTGCGAGCGATAGTCAGCAATAAGGTTCTTAAATATAATTCAAATAATTATATAATATATTCATATACTATTCAATATAATTCAAATAGGAGAGCACTACTTTTTTTTAGACATTTTAAATTTTTTTAAAGCACCTGGTAACTTTCTTAAGAGAAAACTATTAACATGGAATCTATTATATTTTAATTATTCCTATTTTTTGTATTTCTAACGCCCAATGATAAACCATTGGTCTGTCCAGACATTTTGTGAAAGGTCCGTTTTTGTAAAATTGTGAAAAACTTACTCGTAATTTGTGAATATAAAATAAACGTTAAGTCACATTCTTTCAACCAGGGTTCGCTTTTGTGAATTTGTGCAAATAGGGTCGGTTATTGCAAAAAAACTTTTTCAGGGAGTCTTTAAATTGCAAAGACATACAAGATTATGCTCAACACTATAAAATTATAATAAAAAAATTAAATTTTAAAAAATAAACAGCAATTGCAGCTACTAAATTAGCGATGCAACATAGAAATATTTGGTATTTAAGCCTATACTGCTGAACGCAGAATATTCATTTCGGACGAATAAAGGAAGAAGCGTCTGCCGAAGATAAAATTTAGTTCGTTTACATCTGTCTTTCTCCCCCCCCCCTTCCTGGGAAGGGTTTATTCGATTAACAAAACGATAATGAAGATAAACAATTTTGTGAAGGGCCCGATTAACCCTTTGACGGTTATGAACGAGTTCAGCTCGCAATCAAATCGTGCCTCATAATGAACGAGTTCCGCTCGGGAGCAAGATTTTGACCGTAATGTTTAGTAACGAGCACTACTCGCGTAGTGAAATTTTTCTCCAATGCGCGCTGACGAGCTGTGCTCGTTCAGCATTATTATTCTGCATTGACTATGTTTACATGTTAAAAACGAAAAGTACGTAAAAACTGTTATTTATATGCACTACGAATACTTTAAGAAATTTTTAAAACACGTGAGGCGAGCTATCTACCGCATCCAGAGATGCCAACTTGCTCCGCTTTGTAAGATAGTATTTCCTAGTGATGGCGAAAGTCAAGTCACTTTCAGTTTAGCATTTCACCCATTTTTTCACCACTAAATATAAAAAACTATAAGTAACATATAAAATGCACCGTTAAAGCAACAATCTACAGGTTACTCTATTAAAAAGTAGGCGTATAACTGTTCTTCTCCAACGAAATTTACTACATAATTTGCTACCACTTTATTATACCAATTCCAGAAGACGGAGCAGTTGGCATCGCTAGAGAAGGGTGACATTTTCGGAAGAACGGAAGTGGAAAACAGATGCCACTTTCGACTACTGTTTGCACGTAATACTGTGCGAATAAATGAAACGAAAACTGTTCATTTCCCTGACAGTCATAGGGTTAAAAGATAAATTATTTTGTGAAGGGTCCGTTTTTATGAAAAGATATTTTGTGAAGGTTCCGTTAACGGACCCAAATTTCTTCTAAACAGACCCCTGTAAAAATACGCCTTCTTTTGTTAAAATTTCGTAATTTTTGGGAATAATGAAATTGCAAAGTTGCTTTTTCCGAAGAAAACGCATGCCTTCTTTTTTAATCAACTCAGATCAAAACTTCGTTCTGTTTGCAGCTACGGTATGGGTAATTTTTCCCCATAGCGGGATGGATAGGTGAAAAGAGTAAACGAAGCGATCTAAAAAGGACTGATCAAGCAGTTCTGAGCAGAGATTCCCAATTTTTTTCGGTTACGGAACACTAAATGATCGGAGTCCCGACTTTATGAATTAAGTTCATTAACAACTTTTAATATACTAACAACAAAAAAAAGAAAGAAAAAAAAAGAGGACGAATTAATTTAGAAAAACATGTTTTCATTGTTATATCGAAAACAATACAACAATAAGTACAAAAGTACTTACAATAAGTTTTTATTTTAGAAGGTCAAGAATGATTTCTAATTTAGTAGTTTTTGACGTACACGTAAATTGATATTTAAGCACAATTATGTTTTTGTTTTTTTTTAAAAAAAGGACTCACAAACTGTAAGAATGGTTTTCAGAGTAAAATTATTCCTTATTCTTGAATTTGGTTATTTTATTTTATATTGATGATAAATATTGATGAATTTTTTATTTTTTTTATTGGCACTTTACTAAAATAGTTTCATAAAATTATTCGAAATATTAAATAAATAATAGATTATTGGTAGGATACGAACATAGTTTCAGGTTTAAAAACTCAACTGTTTTTTATCTTTAAAGAAAAAAAGAAAAGGCATAATAAAGAAAAGAAATAATCAAAAAAGATAAGAAAAAAGAATTTAAACTCAAGGAACCCCAATGACCTCTCTACGGAACCCTAAGATTGATTCCGCAGAACACCTTTTGGGAACCACTGGTTTCGAGGATTGGTGAGTAATAATAAGCACAGGGCATTAGCTTTTAATGTAATTGAAACAAACTATAAAAGATATTAAGGTATAAAAACTGGAGTATTAAATTAGACCTAATAGAACAAGTAATATATATAAAAATAATTAAAGTCAATTCTTACTTAAGTCAAACAAAGAAATTTTTTATTTTAGTTACTTCTTATTAAATAATTACAATTAATATAAATATGTATATACATATGACAGAATCACAATATTAAGTGGCAAAATAGAAAGCGAATTTCCCTGCAATTTTCCTTTCTATACATGGTGTTGGACTATTATTTTTGTTTGTTACTATTTAATCGCTTTCTATTCTTTTAGTTTCTAATTTAAGAAGCTGATGGTGGTCTATAATTTCTATGTTCTTTGACGGTATTTATTCCTAAATTTATATCCTGCTCAATGTCCTCCATAAGAGAATTTTTTTTTCCTTCCATATAAAACAAAATTAATTAATTAAATTTAATTAATATTGAAAAAACTGTATTAACATCCAAGTGTCATCCACTACAAGTTTTAAAAAATGTATTTGTACTTGAGTGGATGAATAAGAAGTATTTTAATATTTATTGAAAATTTTCATCAAGATATATAAATATATATAGGGAGAGTGTGAACTAGTATAGTAGGAATTGAAAGAGTCGTGGAATGGAAAAAAATATATGGTTCATATTTCGTTGTGCAAAATAGGTAAAGATAAGTAAGCACCAGACACAATAATATTCAATAAACAGAAATGTATAAGGATAAAAAAAAATTTTTTTGTTCTTTTTTTTGTACAATTGAACTCAAAAATAAGTTTTAAATGACG